CCTATTTTCAAGGGTTGTTTTACTACACACGAATGGACCCCGGGTTTTCGTCTCATACGAAAGATTAGAAACAACTGCCTTGTCAGCACCACAGACGCAGTGAGCAAAAGCATTGTGAAATAAACCACATTTCGGCTTTCGGTACAGTATACCCCGCCCCACCCCTTCTTTTCAGTGGGTATTGAACAGATAAGAACACTTGTCACAAGACGAAGTATTTCTATTTGATTATGCTTTATTCAAATATCACGAGACTGTGTATCGCTAAGGTCAGTGGGGGGGTATATAAGTAGGTATGTATAAGGATGTTTCAATACAGTATGAATTTCAGGTAGCAACGTAATAAACAGGTATGTTTCTTTTTGTCTTTTATGAATTTTGTGGTTTGAAATGGGTTTTAACGTAATACTGTTCTGCTCCGAACTGGGCTAATGTAGACGGGCATACACCATACAGTGTGCTATTAGGGAAATTTTGCCCGGACAGCGGGCGTACTCTTATATCGAATTCCAACTTTCAATGTATCTTTTACGTGAACGCTTTTTCGACTCATCCGACCGACTAGACAGCTGTCCTTGTCAGGCCCTCCGTCCTGCATCACTGATAAGGGCGGACCACGCCGGAAATCTGAACGAACTTTCTTTGTCAATGCAGGGATCGAACACCCAACCTCCAAGATTAGCGAGCCAGCGTCTTACCCACTTAACCACTGTGACCACCTTGTGGTTTTAAAGGAAAAGGTTTAAAAAACCTGATCGAATATACAAACGTATTTCAGTATATAAAAGTATGATAAACAGAGGTAAAATTTCGCCAGGGCAAAATATTTGCTCAATATTTAAAAATATATGGACTTGGGGTTAATTATGTTAGCTAGTGCAACCTGAAAACATATTATTTACTAAAAGTAGGATTTCTTAGAACCAAGAAAATATAATTTTAGAATGAAAGTTATTCGTAAGCTCACAATAAATGAAATAAGAATTTCCCCGCTATCGGGGAAAGACGTGGGCTATATTGTGTACAACACGTCTGTAAGAGACGTCTGTAACGGCAATGGCGGGTTTTATAGATTTGAAGAATATGTTGTTTTCAGCGACAAATGTTGTTTTCCTTTTAGTTTGTACAATAGAAGGTAAGAGTCAAAGGAATATATTTTTAATTCTTTCATGAATTTATTCATTATTATCTCATCGTTATTTTTTCAAAATATTTTATTTTATTTTAGTGGTGATAGCAATATGAAGTTTGCTACTGGATGTCTTGTTTTTATCTTGGTTGCTGTAGCGGCAGTCAATGGTTATGCTGGCTACCAAGAAAAAATCCCCAACGGCGACCACGTACCACACCCCTGTAAACCAAACTTTATGTGGAAAGGTGTTGGCCATTTACAACGAAGTGGTGGAGGGGAGAGAAATCAGTTCGGGAAAGATTTTATGGCTGCTGGTAAAACGGTATGTGAGACAACTCTAAATCATTTTTTGCACATCCTCCCATGATAGGCACTGTTCCAGCTACGCCGCGCGCACACACGTTTTGCAACTAGCACACATAGGAAATGAATGTGCGCAAAACCTTTAGTTCATATAAAAAATATTGTGGTTCTCAGATATAATTTAACTTGTTTTTATTAAGTTAACTGCCAATACAGTTTTCGTCTGGTCCCGTGTACACATTGTTGTGTACGTAAACGATCCCTTGACAGTTGGAATTCAATAAGAGTAGGCCGTATAGTGCCGCTGTCTGGGCAAAATTTTCCTCATAGCACACCGTATGGCGTATCAGAAGGGTATGACTCTAAATCCCATTTCATTTCATTTATGAGCTATGTCAAAGTTATCATGAAACGACCTCACAAGTTTATATTTTTACAAATATCTTGCGCACATGCTATTGACACTGGAATAAATTTGCAAAACATAATGTTTTAGAGAGAACATTGGTGACGGGGTACCATTAATACTTGACTATGTAATACACACGTCTTCAAATGAAACGTAGGACGGCTTTCCCACCACTCCGACACTAACCAGTAGTCAAATATAAAGTCTAACAGCACAAGTGAATAACGGGAGCAAGTGGATTCGGCACATGAGAAAATATAATACAGAATACTACTTTTGTATGTTAAATTATACAACGGTTAACACAAACTATGTAAGATTTTTATAACTTTCTAATGGAATGCATCAAGTATTATGTTATTCTATTGTACTACCCACACCTAGTATTATGTTACTTGAGTGTATTACCCACACCTAGTATATTATATCAGTGTATTACCCACACCTAGTATATTATATCAGTGTACTACCCACACCTAGTATTATGTTACTTCAGGGTACTTACCTATAGTATTATTGTACTGCCCACACCTATTATTATGTTATATTAGCGTACTGTCTACACCCAGTATTAGGTTATTTCATTGCACTACCTACGCCGAGTATAATGTTACTTTATTGTACTACCCACGTCTAGTATTATCTTATATCAGTGTACTACCCACTCCTAGTATAATGTTACTTCAGTGTACTACCCACACCTGTTATTGTCTTATCCCATTGTACTACCCTGATTTAGTATTATTTTACTTTAGTGTAATACTCACACCTGATATTGTCTTATTCCGTTGCACACTCACACCTAGTATAATGTTATCTCAGTATATTACAGCCATCTGTTATTGGCTTATTCCATTGTACTACCCACACCTAGTATTATCTTACTTTAGTGTATTACCCACATACCTAGTATTAGGTTACGTCCATTTACAACCTACGTCAAGTATTATGTCACTTCAGTGTACTACCCACACCTAGTACTATGTTACGTTACATCAGTGTACTACACACTCGTAGTATTATGTTACTTAAATGGACTACCGACACCTAGTATCATGCTACTTAAATCGACTACCCACACCTAGTATTATGTTACTAAGTCGACTACCCACACATATAGTGTCTGTAGACGATGCCAAATGTTGAGATGTATTATGTTATTTCGATGAACTACCAAGTTATGTTATTTCAGTGGACTGCAGGGTTATGTCAAGGTGATTCAGATGGAGACGGTGTAAGTAATGGTCAAGAGCTCGGCGATCCCAACTGTACCTGGACACCTGGTACTATTCCTCACCATGTAACGGGTATCACACATCCGGGCGTTTGTGACCCCTGGGGAAGTCCTCAATGTGGTGATAAAAATTCGTGGGTTAACTGTGACAGTGATGTGTTTGATTGCCCCCCTATCGAAGAGGAAGGTATGTATCGAATCAAAAAAAGTTATGAAATACAAATGGTCACATATTATGTGAAGTAGTAGCCTTTGCCAAATGTCCATTATATTAGGCTTCCAATTTTCAGTGAAATAAATAAGGTAGACGCGAAACAGTATATTGAAGTCCATATCAAAGCAAATGAAGACAAAAGTCAGCGCTATTTATACCTGTAATCTTCGCTAAAATCTTTTGATTGTTCTCTTTTTAATCCGATCGAATACATACATACCCCCCGCCCCCGGCATTTAGCACGGTACCTGTCACTGTACAGTTGATTGGGTCGATATTTTTTTTACTGTCAAAATTATTTCGTATACCGGGCTATGGCAACCAGCAGAATCTCAGAGCATTTATCTTAATACACGGCTTAGTGTTTGCATTAGGTCAGCATCTGCTTAAATATAGCTATATAGTTATAAGAAGCTGGGGAGGTAATCAGTACAATTCGGATACCAGTTACAAAAATATGAAATGAAAATTACTGAACAATTTCTATTGTGTTCTTAAAAATCAATAAAAATGACATTTTAATTACAGGCGTGAAGCAACAAAAATTGGTGATTCCCCTCACCAATATACCAAATAAACCAACCAATTATTATTGTATGACGTTTGACTTACCTTCTGATGGTGACTACCACATGATAGCTACAACACCAATAATAAATGAAACTAGAGTTATGCACCATCTCGGTCTTCTGGCATGCGCTGATGATTGTAAGTATCGCTTTAGATTAAAAGTCAGAAAGTAACAACTGGGCCAAAGACGACGGGCATACTTCATGCAGAGTGCTACGAGGGGAATTTTGCCCGGACAGCTAGCGGCGTGTCCTCATCGAAATCTCACTGTCAAGGCGTCTTTTACGTGCACACTTACGAATGCACCCGTCAACCGAATGACAAGACGTTTTTTTCCTGGCTGGATCCTATGTTGGTCATTATTTTTGTTTTAAACAAAATTGTGACCTCTAGAGTTTCCACGAGCTAAAAAACATGATTTTTCGTACAACCAGGGGCCATAATCCAGGAAGTTAAATCTGATATGCGCAAATAACGACAAGAACCAGGATCTTTGGGACATTAACAAATATTTAAGTTTCATCAAAATCTGATAAGAATTGTGACTTCTAGAAGGTCCACAACTTTGATATGTCATACTTTTACACTATATGCGTACAAGGAGCCGCCATTTTGTCAGACACAGACAGTTTTGGTCTGATTTTCGTCATTGGGGTGTAACGGTGATGAATGTAAATGTTTTGTTTTTTGTTTTAAATCGGATAAAAATTGGGCCATAATTCAGGACGTCACGATCATGCGCGAATATCGAAACGAACCAAGATCTTTGGGTCATAAATATGCATTTTAAATTTCATCAAAATTAGATGAAAATTGTGACCTCTAGAGTGTTCACCAGCTAATAACATGATTTTTCGTACAATCAGTGACCATAATCCACGAAGGTGTGGTCCGATACATGCCAAAATTGAAAGGATAGACATATATTTCAATTTGCGTCAAAATCGAATAAAAAATGACCTGTAAAGTGTCCACAAACAAATTGTGGACGTGCGGACAGGGGTGACGGCATAATACGTCCACATGAAAATGTGAGCGTGTAAAAATCGTACTAAATATAAAACTTAAGTGACAAATACGTGTATACAATTAAAGGGGTTAGACAAATACCTGTTGTTCAATTCTATTTAAGCCGACGTTCTTGATACACCAACAGAGTGTGCAATGGGCGTCAAGGGATGTAGCAGTCTAATTGGACTATGGACTCTTGGACTACCAGGAGAATGTGTTTATAAAGAAGCTGGATTTAGACTCGGTCAAATGGGTATTAAAAGAGGATTACTACAGGTAAGTAAAAGATACATCACAGTTCTTCTCTAAAACGTGAAGAATTCTTCGGTTGTCCATTTCGGTGAAACAATTTAAATGAAACTGGGCGTAATGTCCTTCTTTTCTGCATCAACCGGGTTACCGCGATAATGAAGACGGGCATACGCCATGCAGCGTGATGTGAGAGAAATTTTGTCCGGATAGCGACTCTACGACCGACTTTTTTTTCGAATTCCAACTATACGTGCACGAGACGAGACCAAAGTTAATCGTCCAATCACAACGACCTAACGATGTTCCTTACTATTCATCGCCCTGTGCCATCTTTAAAGGAAACCATGAACATTCTGACTCTTTACCGGGATCGAACATGGAACCTTCAAGCAACTGCGACTCTCCATTATTATATAACACATGGTCAAAGGACTTTGATTGAAACGCTAACAAAGTTGATTTATTGTAAACAAAAGTGGGGGAAACGGAATGAAATATCGTAGTTAAATGGTTCTCTTCAGTATATTCAAACACCGCTGTTTATATTTCTGTTATACTCCAGTTTCACTGGACAAATCCCGAGGAAAGATCTGATTTATGGGATGCTTCTGGTATGACCATCTACTACACCAAGAAGTTGAGAAAATATGATGCCGGTACCTGGATGACCGGACAGGAATATCTGGAAATTCCACCATTGACTAAAAATGTCGTGCAACAATCAACATGTTCTTCTAGATGTACAAAGAAGATATTTAATGGAACTGTTCATTTAATGACGGGATTAAACCATATGCACTATCTTGGTAAGTAATTCATGATGACACTGAAATTCTGGAAATGTCTGATGATAATGAGAATCTCCTTATATATGTACCACTCCTAAGAATGTTAAATTCGTGGACCGATATATTATTAAGATCGTGGTGGTTGTTTGGTCAGGACACAAGAATTACAACCATTGCATGAATCCTGTTGTTACTCAGTTATCACTTATCATGTCTTAAAACCAACGTGTTACTAGCTGAAGCGCGAGACCCGGTGTACAAATTTGTAGAACAGATTAAATATCTCTTAGCAGTTATAATTTTAAAATGCGGTGAGAACGCGACTGTCCGAGCAACATACATCATAAAAAGTACCAAATTTAGTCTTAAAATTACTTTAGTGTTAATGAGACGTTATCCCTTTTCCATGCTTTGGAAAATCCTGGCTATACTATTGAAAAGGCTGTGTCTAAAAGCAGAATGAACTGAGATGGATTTTACCGTCTTTCTGCATCAACCTAGCTGGTTAATGAAAACGGGCTTACGCCATGCAGTATGCTATGAAGGAAATTTTGCCCCGACGACGGTGCTACGACCTACTCAATTTCGAATTCTAATTGTCAGGGAGCAAGAAACTTCTTATTACCAGACCCTCCATCCTGGCTGCCACGAGACTTTCTCGGCATACACCGGTATCACACCCGCTTTTATACCACGGACGGGAATGTGTCTATATCCAGAGACATGCTTCTGTTTTATAGCGGCCAATACAACACAAATCCTCACTTTTCCAAATAGTAGCTCATCGAAAGCCTTGACATGTGAGTTTCTACAAAATATATTGATATACTTCAGGTGTTTCTGGACGTGTAAAACTGACTCGTGAAGATGATTCCACTCAGATGTTGACTGATGAACCTGTCTATAGTTATGATACACCTGTCTTAAACAGGTAAATATCATAGATGATGAATAAAATAGTGTTAATAGAATGACGTCTAAAATAGAAGATGATTAAAATAACATTTTATATATGAATAGTGGGGTTCGAATTAGTGCCAGTCTGATTAAAATACAGATCTGTATTTCGTTTCGTTTTTTGTTATACTTTCGATAGCCTCTACTACATGAAGATCTGACCGGTTGTAGTGGAAGGTCGCGTCAGAGGTCATACGATCGGCTTTTGACCCTATGACGTGAGACATTTGATTAACCAATCAGCGTTGATGTTTCTTGTGAGTTACCCACAGTGCCGTGCACCTCAGACCGTTTCATTGGCTAATCCCTCGCATCATCCAGAACGCGAATTATATAACAACTCTTCCAGATTTTGAACTATAAAAAACAAAACGAAATAGAATCTGTGTTTTAATCAGATTGAATTAGTGCATACATATTTAAAACAAAACTCTGCTTAGTATGTGTAATTCTGGATTACATAAAAAGTGATATCACGTGTTGTAGAAAATGTAAACATCAAAATCGATGTCCAATTGAAAACTTTATAACGAACACAAAAATATTGCGTCAAGCGCGAAAATAAAACATTAAGTCCTTGGTCGTCAATTATGGGATATTGTTTAATCCAGTGATATCGTGTTTTTTGGGGGGGTGGGGGGGGGGTTGGTTTGTTTTTTTTTTCTTGACGGGATATCAATTCAAAACGGTTCATTTCAGTAAACTATTTACATAGATATTATAAATTGAAATTAAGCGCCACCAATTTGAGTTCATTTCCGCGTGAATTATTAAGCATGAAAATTAGATATTGTCCAAAAATGCACGATCGAGCTCGGTGACTTTCCAGCACTCATTTTTTAAAATAAAATATACATTTTTATAACGAAAATATCCACTATTACCATTAACAGGTATGAACCACCAGTTGAACTTCAGGGAGGTGATAGTATCGAAACGGTGTGCTCCTATAGGTCACTGTCTAGAAAGGAAACTGCTGTATATGGACGAGGAACGTATGATGAGATGTGCTATGGTATTTTCACCTACTATCCAGTAGAATCAATCAGCACAATCAATTGTGTAACACGTAAAGAGTTCGAATTGTGCGATTATAGAGAGAACGGGTGTGATTTCAAGGCTCTTCAAAACTTTACCAATCCAGAAACACGACAACTTATTAACAGGGTAAGAGTCTGTAACTAAGGGGTGAAACACGGCTGAGTCACAGGGTAGGTAAGGATAGACAGGGTTAACAGAGTATGGATCTGGGCGTCGGGTTTTCGTACCATTCTGACGACTAGAGTCTTTTCCTAGAGAATCTGGAAAATCCCGAAAAACTTTCTCGGGCAACACTGGGATCAAATGAGCCAGCATCATACTCACAGAAACCACCGTGACTCCCTAACCTGGATGCAGAACAGAGACTGTCCTTTCATATTTTATGGTTCTTGTGTTCTATATTTTTGCGATATCATTTCAGGTCTTCGCAACTTGCACCCATGCCGGGGGATGTCTCCACGGATGCCGAGATCTGGTGAAGGACATTATGACGAATCACGTATGTTTTAAAGATGGGATGGCCGAAGGCGTAACATATCGAAAACTTATGGAAAGGGGAACAGATAAATTGGAAGCCCTGCAATGGGTGGCGGCCATGAAGTCATGTGAATGTGCGAAAGAAAACCCGATAAATTACGTAGAAAACAACGAACCCGGACCTGGTCAGACTGATAACATCGTCCCCTCGTCGAATACATCACAGATAGCAGCCTACACTGTTCTTGTCTTGATCTTATCAGCTCTCAGATTATTTTAATAAACCAAGGTTTTATTAATTAAATAAAGAGTTATTTGCACAAAAGCTCATTATTTTGTCTGGTTTAATAACTCCAATGACCTTATTCGCAAAAACCTAAAACTAAAATATTTATAATTTTCATTGGCCAAGACTTCAAGGATTTTGACACTCAACTCAGCCAATTCCATGGCTGCTTCGTTAAACTATCTTAAGGTAAAAGGGAGCCTGGATGTCCCACGTTAGTTCCCCGGTGTAGGCCGAGGAAGTTTCTCTGGCTTTTTCAGCGTGGTTTCCACGTATCAGTAGTGCAGGACAGAACGCCTGGCAAGGTTCAGTTGTCTAGTCATTCGGATGGGACGAAAGCATTGGCGTATCAGAACCGTTGACAGTTAGAATTCGAAGTCGAAGCGCTGCATTCAGGTCAAAATTCCCCTCACAGCAAACTACATGGCGTATGTCCGTCTTCATTAGCACAGGGCGTTAAGACCATTTCATTAAGTTTAAGGTAAAGGATTTTTTGTGGTGATCGATTACACTCTACACATGTTAACCACACAGTAGCTCAGAGTAAGGCGCCGGCTTGCTAAATAGCTTTCAATAGCTTTCGCTGCCTACACCAGAAACGAACACAGACCAACGTACTACACCGTGAATCCACCGGCTGTTTGGAAATCCCCCACATAAATTAGGTCATAATCTTATTATTGGCATACTGAATACTCGAACGTCGGGAACCTAGAGTTTGTCCCACCGTGTGGGTGGGTGGGGTGTAGGATGGGGGGAGGGCTGCGTTGGTCGCCGACACCGCGCGAAAAGCACGACACAATACACTTCAGATATAATTGAATAGTAAGCTGTTTGTTCAAAGAAACTTAAAATTGTACCCGGCGAGCCCCCCCCACCCATAAATCTGGCCTGCCCTCTGTCCCCCCCCCCCCCCAATAATTTTAGAAAATAAAAAAGTATTTGGTCGGATAGACTAGTGATCATGCGAGAGACGGCATCTGATCAGCTCTATTTATCTCTACAATCGGTGCCTAACTACTGTCAGACAGCATTTCCGACAGTCTATTTTTCAAAATCTTCTTGGGGGGGGGGGGGGGGGGGGTGCCCAATACCCCCACAAGGAATTGCTACGTTGGCGCTCACTAGGGGACTTCGTTGAGACATTTTGTTCTCTGGTTGGATAAACTAGTGATTAGTCGACGGAAGGTATCTGGTCAGATCTATTTGTCTCGACGATCGGTGCCTGACTGAATACTGTCAGACAGCATTTCCGACAGTCTATTTTTCAAAACTCGTGCCTTTGCCCCCTTAACCTTGGACTCTGCTCCAGCTTTGCCCCTCCAACCACCGACGACTGGCGCCACCACTGTTCTGTTGGCGCCACAGAAATCCTAATGCAGTAGAACAAAATTGCCGCCTCCAAACCTGTTGTCACCCCTCGTTATTTGTAGGTAGCAACTGATAGTTAAAAATCCTTTTCCTCATTCGTGGTACTTCTCGGTACTTTCAAATTAAGCCTTCAGTTCCGTTCTCATCTGGTAAAGATTAACAATAATAGAAGATAACTCAACATATAAATATTACTTTATTCTGAATGTACTACAAATATATACCTTAAGTACAAATATAAAACACTCTCTTGGGAATATCCTCAATCCTCAAACTGAGGATTAGGGTCTTGTTTAAAAAGGATTTAATCATTCAAGCTTATTTCAAGAGACCGGTGATTGACTTTACAACAACATTATTACAAATCTTATTAAAAAAACTACAATATAAAATAATTTGGCAGTTGTAATTATGAAAGCCTGGGCACACTAAAGATTACTTATATTGTCTAGGGCTCTGTACTGCAGTCCAAAATCATATTGTGATATTATTATTGCCATTACAACCAGGTGTACTGCAATACCTACAATATTGTGAACAACTGTGCATGTATTTATGGACTTTCTAAATAAAAGTTATGTTTATCAATATTTAAAATACAATTTTGTATTATCTTTTTGGACTTTTTAAAAAAAAATTTGTTTATATTTCTAGACTTTTAAAATAATATTTTGTGATTAGAGTCTTGAATTGCGGCCTTAAAAATGTCTAAAATCATCAATATTGTACAAAAATCCCTATACCCCATTGTTTATATGAATCTTAAAGAAGTAAATACAAAAATGGTGTTTCCATAAATCAGTTTGTTTGAAAACCGTGAAAATATCCATACAACCATTTATAGGCCACAAACCACCGGGGTTATAAATCTTATATTTTACATATCTTTAAAGCTATACTTAATTCATAATTTTTTCAATAAATACCAACTGGGTACAATCTATTTTAAGGATAATAATCTTTTAAAACTTTTAATATACTGTCTTTAAATGGAGATCTAGGTACTAGCACTAAATCATCTAATCGTGATGTGACTAAATGAGCATCATATGGGCGGGGAGCACCAGGTGAAGCAGAGTTATCTGCCTCAATATGATTAGTGGATATACCAAAACATTCAGCCATTGCAATAGCCATATCACACTTGGTCATATTTTCTTCTCCACTCCAATGATAAATACCTTTTACATCTTTATTCTGGAAAATAAAGAAACATGCCAGGGCTATAGAAATGGGCTCCATCCTTCCTTTGATCCCTTTTTTGCTTCAGTCTGTTATAGTATTTATGACTGGTTTTAATAATTTTTGCAATTCCATGTAAACAAATTTGACTTTGTTTTTTGTATGCAATTTTTATTCCAAAGCATATCTCATAAACCATGTATTAAACTTTGTACTATTTTGATCTCTACTTTGAAGTTATTCTAATACAACTCAAAATTATCAAGGTCCAGTGTGTTCGCTACCAACATAGTACAGGTTTTTCTACAGCCCTTTCAGCTCTTCCTTTTTTCTTAAACCAACAAAAGAAAAATTTGAATAGCCAAAAAGAAATATTTCAATAATAAATAATTATTCCACTAAGATTTTATTTCTTAGTCCAATATATAATTTTTATGTACACCTATACTGACAAAGTGGCCTTGACACATGAATTCTCAATACGGTACCATCACGATACTGAACCATAGATATAAACATGAAAAATATATGTAATAATTTGCAAAGTTTTTGTGCATTATCAAAAATGACCACAGTTAAAATTATGAAGTGGAAGCCTTGTTTGTATACACCTTTTGCTGATTAGAACAGTAGTGCTTAATACCGAATTATACACACAAATTTTTAATATAGTAAAATATATTAGGGTAGTTACCGGTATGGCTTTTTGCTATATTATAGTTGAATATTTTTTGTTTCCTTATGCCACTATAAGCAAGCCAAATGGGGAGTTAAAAGATTTTTCCTTATGGTCAAATCAACAACCCCTGCAAATTTGAAGTATATCTGACAAGTCTTAGAGATATATGTGTGGGATCCCCCGAATTAAAAAAAAACAGAATCCATGTCGGTACTTAATTGTAATATGAGTCTGCTTTAACTGGCCAAATGAAAAATTCTAGCAAATTTGAAGAAAAATCTGACAAAGTCTTAAAGATGTCACTAGAAAAGTTGGACACAATACAAATCCATATTAAATGTGGGCGTATAAAAATGTATTTACCATACCTTTAATCTGATATCAGACAGATTCCTTATAACAACTGCTATATCTGGACAATATGTAGGATAACGTCGTTCATAATTTGACATCACACATTTACTATCTGTGTTCTTTACTTTAGGAAATAAAACAGTGACAGCGCTTTCATCTAATCTTTCAACCGGTCCATATAATATTGGCACTCGTAACACACTATTTTCTGAAGAAGAAAAACAAGGAATGACACTCCAATCATTGATGCCAGATCAAACTCTCGATCTAGGACAGATTTTTTCCAACACCTTAAAGATGAGAATCACTTTCAATAATTTCTGAAACCTACCTACACTGACATATTAATTTTTTTGTATGTTCTCTTCCTGAACATTAAGTTTGTTTTAAAAAAATGGTAACTGGTAGGAAGAAAATACACAAAATATAATTAATATATAAATGTAGCAATTTGGAAGTGAGGTTAGACGAAAAAGTACAGCTTCATTTTGAAAGAATATATATCATTGCTTTCCTTGATTGATGCCCACATGCATTCATCTAAACAAGCAAGCACCTAAAACATGGTTACTGACTTTTTCTCTGATCACTGCTGAGCTCACCCTGTGTCTTATACACAGATGCATGTGGAAAATCCTGAAGAACTTTCTTACACAAAAAGCGAGTTTGAACCCAGGACCTTATACATTAATGTGGCAGTGCCTGGCTCACCATGTCATTAAGCTGCATTTTAAATGTATCAAATGTGATATATTGCTAATGTTAATTTCAATGCACATCTGTAACATATTCAAAAATATTACCAAACGGTTTACCCTGTAATTCACAATATCTTCACATCAATAAAATAAATAATTTACTAGATAACATAACAGTTACGTTCAAACTGTAGCAGGTCATGTATCATTACTGATCACATTAGTTGCAATAAACCATTTATAAGGAGACATAAATTTCATGACAGATACAATTTTCTCACTTGACAGTATGGTTTGAATGTATATAAAGGAGATACTTGCCACTACTGGAAGCTAAAGTGACTTTTTCACCTTCGTATTTACTAAGGCCATATTTATTTAATGGATTAGGTACAGCATTAACATCATATGGTGGGTTCAATCCATCAAACACATAATCTGTACTTATAAATAATACCCATGCATTGACACTAGCTGAAATAGTATTAATAAACATGTATTAGATAAACTGTGTATTTATGTAAATTTAATACAGTTTTTTATGTTTATAGAGCAAAAATATTAAATGTCCTACTACCTGTAACAGAGTTTTCACTTTGAAATGATGCTAGTCCATCAATTTTTGACATAAATTTTTTCAAAAATTATGACAAATTTCAGCAATACGGCTATACCAAATTTTACATATAAATTGTGTTTTAATATAAAAACTATAAATTTAACTGTATTTATTGTGTTTTACAGATAAATTGACGGACAGGTAAAGTCTCCAACTGGTCAATTTCACTGTCAGTCAGTTGAGATTTGGCAAAAGGCCTAATTTAGATATCTGTTCCTGAACCACACAATGGATTCAAACAAATTTGGTGGATACCTTGCTGAATATGTTCAGTCTCACAGGGCCAGAGAGTTTCACCTTGAAGGGGCACATACACAACTGTCTGTTAGTTATAAACCAAAAAATACAGTAATAAAATGGAAAAGGGTTTTAATAAATGTACCTCCTACATTACAGATATTTCTAGTAGCATCTACATTAAGCTGTTTGGTAGCATCAGCCTGATTTTCTACAACATCCGGTCTTCTTTCAGCAGCACTGTGTATGATAACATTAGGCTAAAATATATAAATACATTCATTGATTTATTTATATGCTAATTTATTATAATATCATGCAAACATTCTATGATTTTACATTATAGCTTAGATTGATCAATACTTGAAAACTGATTCATAACCCACCAAAGATATCTCATGACATTTGGTTGTAAAATGTTCAAGACATGGAGATATATATCATTGCAAGATGACATGGGTTACCTTTTCCTTAGGGGTCAATACCATTTGGGGATGCTTGATTCACAGTCCAGAACGTCCCAAATTGACAGAATTGCAATCGAGTGATGCGGAATTCAGTCCTGTCAGAGTCCTGTCAGTCCCGACTACGGAGATGATGTGAGCTGAATCGTGACATAATTAAACACAACGTATATGTTTGGGCTGCATGGTTGGTTGAGATATTTACTTAACCAATCGACGCATACGTTGTAGCCCAAAATACCCCTTTTCACTCGATTGTCACTATTTTTGGGATTGAGAGAAGTCAATTCCGGAACATTCAATCAAGTACCCCCATTATCATCTGAAATTCATGCTGGTAATTTTTAAATTCCAGAGTTATTCCCTCTGTTACAAAATCATGTTTGCACTATACAGACTTCAAATATGATTTGATTTTTATGAACTTGGTATGAGTTGTTTCATCCATTCAATGATGAAGCCTCAGGTTTAACAATAACGTGATAAACAACATTTTAAAAGTGTTGATTAACCCATGATGTACCAACTTGCATGGCTATCATATGTTTCTGTACAAAATGGTCCACTACTAACTTGAAGCATATTGTCACTACTAATACTATTTAAAGCAGCAGAAAAATTTCCATTGAAATTTAAAGTAATGATACCACTGTTTTTTGTGACTGATGATTCATAAGGAAGACATTTATATTCTTTTCAGAATGAAGATAACATGCATTATTAAATTTAGAATAGATTAGCCAGAAAAATTATCCTGCTCAACATATTATGACATGATACTAAAAAAAAGTCTTTGTAATTATTTGTAATTTTTTTAGTTTGGCACCAGTACCTATTTTAAAGGGTTAAAAAAAATCGAAATTACTTGAAATTCTTTTACTACTCTTGTCAGTTCATCTGAATTTGTTAAATCTACTTTCTTTAGTTGTTCTCCAGCTCTAGAAAAGGCTAGACCTAAAACATCCCAAGTTGAATCTTTCTTAAACTCCTGATAAATAGCTCTTCCTAATAATCCAGATGCACCAGTTATCAAAACCTTTTTTGACATTCTGAAATAATGAAATAGTAGACTAAAAAATATTATATATCTGTTGCTTATCAATAAAACAAAAGCCCACCAACTGCCAAGATGTAGCGATGACCCACTCATAATTTGCAGTCTAAATGTCATCTGTGATGTATATTCATCGGGAAGGAGCAATAAACTCATTTTTCAATCTCCCCTGTTTAAAACTTGATGTGATTCTTTGAATTTTGAATGCATTTCACTCCAAAATTCTGATCTAATGCACAATTCCTCTTTTCCACTAAAAAAGGAAAGTTTTTTTTATCTGAAAAAGTCAGTATTGAGTAAAATAAAATATTAATAATAAAAACCATTACGAAACTTCGTAACGTTTTTATTATTATTATTATTTTTTTTTTTGCCGATTTTAGTCAGAAGTTGCTGTCAAAACTGTGCAAGGTGCAAACATTCTGCCAAAGTAGATACTGCTGGCCTCCGTGGAACTAAATATTAAATATAAGTTGGGTCATTTTTGACAAACAGGAAGTGTTTTATGGATGGTACAAAAAATAATCTCAGATTCCTCATATCTTGGTTATTTGTCAATGGATCTTCGTCGGGTTTTCATTCTTGGAGTCTTTGGACGAATCCCATAGGGGCTCTTAATGACGTTTTTAATGAAAATTTTTTTCAGCATTTTTTCGACATTTAAGAGGGTGTATCTCCTTTTGTATTTGAGGTATCAAGTTGAAACTTGGTAGGAATGTTGAATACATTGGTGCCTTCAAAATGGCATATTAAAAGATTGGGTGACGGCTCCGAAAACTTCCAAAAATTATCGAGGCTGTCCCGAATTTTTCTGAACATGAATAGTTGTCTCCATTTTAACAGTATCGATGACACATATTAATTAATCGCACATTTATTTTTTTCAAAAGTATCAAGCAATCAAACTGATTTTCAACTATACACTAAGTTTTATCACTCACTATCAGATACAATCAAAGTTATCTTGTCCCAAAGCATCGACCAATGAAATTGTTTAGCTCTGCTTAGCATTGCTTAGCTTTAGCTCGAAATGTTAATCATTGAACTCAGTCAAGACATTCACCTAATGAACATCTACATCAAGTTTAAACATTCTACCTCAATTAAAAGCAGAGTTGTTATGTTCCAAAGTCTTGAAGTATTGATGTAATAAAACTATACACAAAGTTTCACCACTATCACTCAATTAGAATAAAAGTTGTCAAGCTCCAAAGATTCGACCAATCAAATTGCTTATTGCTCTTTAACCTAAGCAGAAAATTCTTATCATTGAACTTAGTCATGGTAATGATATAATGAATCTATACTCAGAGTTTCATCACTCTCACTTAATTAATTTATAACCAAAGTTATCGTGCCACAAAGCATCAACCAATCAGATTTCTTATCTCCGCTTACCATAAGCAGACAATGTTTATCATCGAACTCCACCAAGGCATTCACCTAATGAACCCCTACACCAAGTTTGAACATTCTACCTCAATTATAAGGAGAGTTATTGTGTTCCAAAGTCTCGGCCAATCAAATTGCTTATCGCTCTGCTTACCCTCAGCAGAAAATGCTCATTATCGAACTTAGTCAAGGTATTGATGTAATGAAAATATACACAATTTTAATCACTCACATAATTAGAACTAAAGTTATCGTGCCCCAAAGCATCAACCAAACAAATTGCTTATCTCTGCTTACCCTAAGCAGAAAATGCTCATCTTCGACCTCCACCAGGACAGTGACCTATTAAACACCTACACCAAGTTTGAATATTCTAGCTCAATTAGAAGGAAAGTTATTGTGTCCTAAAGAGTGTGATGGACAGACAGACAGACAGACACACCACAGACGAACCCATTTTAATAGTCCCGTGCTTTCTTTGAAAGGCGGGGGATAAAATTAGACGAAAAATGACATATGGTAGTGTTAGCCCGAGATATTATCTTTCATTTTCAGAAACCTTGTTCGATAGTGTCTCTATTATCCACAATTCTTAGGGACCCGATTTTTTAATTTCAATTTCGTTTACTTCGACTTTTGACCTTCTATCTGGTGACCTAACCTTTCAATCACCCTTGATCGTTGTATGTGACCCTGATGTCAACTAACAGTTAATATCAAAAAGTTTGGTCTTGAGGTATAACTTTCGGTTTAATTAAGAGTTCAAAATGACAGGTTTTTCCACTTTAATAGGTATTGGATGTTACTAATACTATACTCAATAATTCATGGTGTAACTTAATTGTTAATGTGACAAGGCGTGATCTGGCGAGACCTGACGTATGAAACCTGTCAATACTCCTTTCGAGTTCCAGTTTGAATCTGGTCATTTGTCTCTGAAGTGTCTTGGTCCATAGTAATGAGAACTACGTTCAGAGCTAAACTACCTTTTACAAATTTTAGATAAGATACGTTAACGTAGCTAGGTCACGTCCTTTCTCTTTCAGCGTATCTTGGCTTTACGCCCCAGCTGATTTATGACAGGTTATATGAAAGGGATAGCATACACGTAATCTATCACTCATACCTATTGTGATGTACAATGAAGTAATATGGAATGAAAAACAGTTGATTAAACCGGTTTACGAAAAATTTATAAAAGTCCAAGACATCGACAACAAAGGGAAATAACTCTCGATTATGACGCACTTGCTTTTCAACGTTATGTCATGCATATCCATTACCTGGGCCGCCTCCGGCTCGTCCAAATGTTCAACCATAGTTCAACCAGGTCTCGACCATGCCCACCCGAACTTGAAATGGTTAGACTAAAGTCGCGACCATGATTAACCCACTTTTCGAGGTCGGTTGAGGCTGGTCAAGTCAGATTTAAAATGGCGTCCCGCGACAAAACATATGTTGTGTTGAAATTGTTATATGAAGATAGAAAGTATACTACCAATGTTGCCCCAGAACCCGAGATTTATTTAAATTCACATAACATATTTAAGTAGTTTCCATATTATATAGAGTGGATAATCATGTTTTGTAAATCAATTCGACCAAGGATTAAATCGACCAAGGCTGATGTCAGATCATGAAAAGCATTCTCATCTTTAATTTAAGAATTTACTCAAAATTGTTCGCCTCATTTTAACTAAAATATAGCCCATTATAAAACTTTTGCTTTTTTAATGTATCAAACACATGAATAAGAAACTGTGTGCGAAGTTTTGTGTTTCTGGATCACAGATGAAAGTTAAGTAAATTCTCAACTGAAGCCTGAGAATGCTTTGTGAACTCAGGGCCAAGAGAATTATAAAACATTTATCGTTATTTGCATTTCTTGAATTGTTAACCATCGATTTATTGTTTAGTTATTATTTTATTATTATTTTATATTTTTATTTTTGAAGGTTTTTATGATCATCATTCACAAATATTGAATGGATGAAGGGCTATCGGCGTGCTGAACGTTGTCGCATTTCGTTATAATCTAGTTGGCCCTAAAGAGCTGTCATCAAACATGGCGGGATATTCGATTGATAAAATTTTACTCGAAGCAAGAGAAAGCGCTAGACGGAGTAAAACAAATTTTGATGCAATAATTGAAAAGGTATGTATCTCATATATATATGATAATGGTGAAATATACAAAAAACTGAGGGCGGTAATAATGAACTAGGCCTACTTACTAGAATTAGATAACGTTGATAGTTGATTAACGTTGAAGTTCAGTTGAACGTAGATCACTAGACTACAGTAGATTTATTTTATTTTACGAACTTAATAAAAATATTATGGTACTATTTCAGTAACGTACCTCTACCAGTTCCTGTGACCGTAATGACTTGAAATTTTCAGGGGGTGTTCACGGGGCCTAGCCATGACCTCACACCAAATTTCAGCCGAATCTGTCAAAACCTTTTTATTTTACCGTAGTTTAGCTTCTATAAGAGATAAGTTTATCCGATTTTGACGCCATTTTGTTTGTTGACTATTTATATAGGCTCGAATGACGTCATATGTGGATTAGGATAAGGGTTAGGGTAAGGGCTAGGACCTGTAGATTTCGTCATAGTCTCAAGATGTAGACAGGGCTAACCCTAACCCTGATTACATTTAGGTTACATTACAAAAAGGGATAGCCTAGACTGGGACTATTAGTTGTCAAAATTGGGTAGGCCTAAATATGACTTATTTTTGACTTTGGGAAAGGTTTGTATTACGGACGTGGCATGAATTCAAATGTCAGTTTATAAATTTAATAAATAAAGTGATTATGATAGCCTACTGGCTACTATTACATGTGCATGTACATTCATCAGCAGTAGTAAAAGCTATAGGCTACTTGTGCATGTCAAGCACATAGATCATTATATTCTCTTTTTAAAGTACATGTATATTCAAATAGTAAAACCCTAAAAAAATATCTTATGTTAATTAGTAATTAGTCTGAATTACAGTAATACAATGTATTTAGATTGTCAGTTCTGAAAAATAATTATTTTTCAGTTTGCTATTTTATTCACACTTTTGTTAATGTGGATTGAACAGGTAGTACTGTATTGTAAGTCTTCCATCAATGTTTTACTTTAATTATAGAAAGTGGATAAACGACCGGATCCGACTTCCGATAAATCGTCTCTGATTGGCCAATTTTAACATGTGGTTATTTTCCAATATGGTGGCCTCTACAGGCTTTACGACTCTAAATTCACTTTTAGTGGCGATGAAACAATTTGAATTTAAGAATAAAGTGACATATTGGCGAAGAGATACGCGGACATTAGAAAATGGGTATGGGTTAGGGTTGGGAACCGAAATTTACGATATCCGGTTTCGTAATTAAAGAACCGGTAACCGGTCGTTTATCCACTGCCTTAATTATAATACATAGAAGATTTTGTCTACTAAAAGCAAATATTGATAAAGGCTATTTTTTGCCTGTATTTCAGTACAGCAAAGAATTTGAAGAAGACGATGTAATAGATATTTACAAACAGAGAATATGTTCAGATAGAGGTAACAAAAAAAGAATACTGGTATAATGTAATTGTTTTCCATAGAACTGTTGTGATTATTATTATAAGATACACAGTAATTTAGTCCTTGTTAACGGATCAAGTACTTGTTGGATGTTTTTCAATACAAAATAGTTCTATATATAATTATAATACTTTGTTGTTTAAAATTTCCCTTATTTATTCAGTTCTTGTTCTTGCATAATCAGTATCCAACCCAAATAGATTACTTGCTAATCTATACTGTTTGTCCTGGCAGTCCTATATTTTGATTTCTAAATGTACTTTAATCTTGCTCAGTCAATATCCTCTGTATCATCATTACTTTAGACAGTGCCACAACAACATACAAACTCTCTAGCACAGTAGTCCAGTTAGATAGAGCCGATATAATTAACCCAATGCTGTGTTTGCATGTCTAGATCTTCATGTACAACAATCATGTACTTTAAAGTTTGGTGAAGTAAGCTTGGGTCAAAATAGTTTGATTTCTTGTGCTTCAGGATCTTAATAAAAAGCCATAAAATCTTAAAAATAAGGGGCTAAGAAGAAGAGCTGCCAATTATTTTTTTTTGTTTTCAGCATTATTTTTTTTTTCTTAAGAATGTGAGTCAAAATTTGAATACATGATCCAGAAGAATAAAAAATCAAATTGACGTGGCCTTTTATAATTTCACTGATCTTTGCATTTATTTTCACACAGGTTTTGTACGATCCAAAAAAAGAGCATTTGGAACATCAAGATTAGCCACAACTAAACGATTAGGTAAAGTTATATGCTGATTGCAAATATAAAATAGCAACACTAATGCAGGTACATATACCTGCTGTCCTGAAATTTGGCACTGGTGGTAAGATAATCAAACTTGTGTATACATGTACATACCATCACAAGAGGACATGATCCAAATTCATGTCTATATTGAGCAGGGTTCTTAATCCATTGATTCCTTTTTGAAACGAACTGGCCAGAATTGGGTGAAAAGAGGTCACAGTAGGAAATGGTGTAATTAAGCTCTCGTTGATTATAGATGGTCGGTGAGAGTGACAGCAGATGGTCTGTAAAATATTGAGGCATTGTAACATTTAAAGAACATGAAATGAAATTGGGTTTAAAGTCCTACTTTTCTGCACCTACATGTACATGTTCCTTGTTATTGATGAAGATAGGCATACACCATGCAGTGTGCCATGAGGGTATTTCTGCCCTGATAGGTGTGCTATGACTAGCTCTTATTTTGATTATCAAAGTGGATCTTTAAAATGTGCTGTCAGTGGTATACACGGGCAGACCTTGTCTCTTTTTTTCGTACCCTACAACATCTCAATGTTATTCCTTGCTAGGTCCTCCATCTTGCACCACTGACTAGTGGAAACCAGGTTTGTTAATCATGAGTAATGTTACGACGTACCATACTCACTAAGTCACTGAGCCATTTTAAAGAACATAAAAGAGGAACCATTATACCAGTGATAGTTAAAGAGATCTACAGCAACTGAAATTACTAAAATTAAAGTACCATGTGTTAGTACAGAGTGGACATCAAACTCCATTTTTCTTCTCCTTTTTTAATTGTCTGCAGTGGACACATTTTCAATTGAAAATTCCTTGTAAATTATAATGAGGTTTTGATCCTAATTCGACAGGTAATGTACATCTATTATTGTCATGTTGGTTGATACCAGTGTGTTTTCAGTACAATGGTGTGAGTATGTTATATTAAGTATAACATAGAAATCTTGTTTATATATTTTGTGTGTTTGTTGTAGAAGAGCGACTAGCTGGAGGTTATAATTCAGGAGATGAAACATGTTACAGTCAACCATCTGTTCTAGTAAGTACAATAGTAAAATATTGTTGTGGATATCGAAACTGTGCACATAGCAAGATTGATTTTGGTGGGGATACCAACATTGCGTTGTGTATAACTAGCTCAAATTAACAAACACTGTAGCAGAATTAGCTTATGGAGCAAGGCTTGTACAATGATTTTTAAACAATGTCAATTTCACCAATTTATTTTTGCGATTCTTGATGTAGATGGTTGGACTGTAATGTAATGTATTCTAAAAACTTATCCCGCGCAATGAGCTCCGTGCATCAGTTCTTGGCGTCCTTCCATCTCAGTTTTGTTTCGAGAGCATATCTCATAAACAATATCTTATGAAACTTTGTACACACATCGATCTATTATTAAAAAAGTTGTAACTGTTTTTAATTAGAAATTTCTGCATTTAGTAATTTTTATGTTTCCTCTGAAACAAATTTCATTTTGTCCACTATAACCAGGTAGCAATCTGATTAAAATACGGATCTATATTTCATTTCGTTTTTTTATACTTTCGATGACCTACACTACATGAAGATCTGACAAGTTATAGCGATAGGTCATGTCAGGGGTCAAAAGACCGACTTTTGACCCTATGACGTCAGACATTTGATTAACCAATCAACATTGATGTTACTAGTGGATTACCCACAGTTCCATGCAAAACGGAGCCACGATGGCTAGGTGGTTAAGACGCTGGCCCGCTAGCCTGGAGGTCGGGTGTTCGATCCCTGCATTGGCCGAGAAAGTTCATCCTGATTTTCCGACGTGGTTTCCCCTTATCAGTGGTGCAGAACGGAGGGCCTGACAAGGACAGCTGTCTAGTCCTTCGGATGATACGAAAAACCGAGTTCCCGTGTATACATCTAGAATGCACGTAAAAGATCCCTTGGCAGTTGGAATTCGATATAAGAGTAGGGGATAGTGTCGCTGCTTGGGCAAAATTTCCCTCATAGCACACTGTATGGCGTATGCCCGTCTTCATTAGCCCAGTATAGGAGCAGAACAGTAGGACGTTAAACCCCATTTCATTTCATTTCCATGCAAAACATGCCTAAAGCTCGCCATAACAGACTGTATCATTGGCTTATCCGTGACACCATTCAGAACACGAGTTAAATAACAACTCTTCCAGATGCTAGTGTAGTAAAGACAAGTAAAACGAAATTTTGAACTATAAAAACGAAACGATATAGGATCTGTGTTTTAAACAGATTGAACCAGGTAGCATGTTTGATTGTTGATTACCAATAACAAAGACTGACTTTATCTGTATCTTCCAAAACATGTCCATGTTGTTGAATGAGTCTTCTTGTATTTAAACATCATCTTGATGTGTACCTGTAGGATTGGGTTTAAAATGTTCACTCATTTCATTTATTTTATTTCAATCTTCCTGTAGCATCCTGAAGTCAAGATAGAACCAATCAATGAGACTGATCCAGAAATATGGAAAGGTAAGTCAGATGTTTTGTATTGTCACTGGTATGAGTACCAGATTTTTTTATCAATTCAACTTCCACTTTTTCATAATTTCCACTCCCTCGATACAAACTGTAATGTAACCAGAACAAAATGGCAGATTTAGCAGCTGTTCTAGATACATTCAATTTGTCGCAAGTTGAAGATGTGGTGCCTTGTCACGTGGGTGATGATATTACCACATTGGTTATACATATTTTTGATGGAATGATCAAACTAACCCAATGTGATACATGGTGTGCCTGGGCTGGTACAGTACAAGAACCAGATGGCTAGTTTTCTTTTATAATAACAAAAAAATTTTCTAATCTCCAATAAGAACATTTATCTATTTTCATTTTTTAGATTTGGTGGAATCATTTGTCCATGACCCTGGAAACGAACCGAGTGATGCCGAGACAATAAGTTCAAGTAGTAGTTCTAGCAGTCGAATAACTGATGATGAGGCTGATGGAAGTTCCAGTGATGATGATGAGGGAGGAGTTTATTCACCAATTTTCATTCCTGACGAGGCTCAAGACAGACAGTTTTTTGGAGCAGAAACTAATTTAAATAGAGGATGGTATTCTTTAAAGAAATCCAACAATTATCAACCGCCACAGTCGACTCTTCCTGAAATACCTGTACAGTCTAATGTCAAAGTTGTTTGTCCAAGCAAAGCTTTCGTCCCAGCAATCCCTATAAAACGAATTGTACCCTGCCATGTTTCCTCAACATCTTGTGACGTTAACGCAAGTTTCACTGGTGGTTATGAAGAGGTTCTGAATGTTCAACCAGTAGTCATGCTAGAACCTCTAGTCTCGCCATCCAAAACAGTAAATCTTGCAGCTAGTTCTGTGCCGCGTAGGTCTACTGATTTGCGGTTTCCGTCAAATAATCTGCCTAACGACAAAACAATTCATCTCTGTGATGGTGACTCAGAAGATAACCATGTTGTTATTTCTGACAACAGCTCTCATTCTTCATTAATGAATTTGACATCGGCCAACCCTTCTCAGAATTCGCCAAATGAGATGGAACAAACACACAGTATTCATCCAATAGGTGACAATAACTCAAAATCTGTCAATCAAGTAGGAATGGACATACCAACCCCACGAAGACGTCTACGTGCCAGAAAACCAAAGAAAGACAAACCTAGGATACGGACCCTTTCTAATGGCGATCTTCGAGAGATATTTTTGTCTAAGGATCCAAATATTGTTGAGAAGTTCCTGTCACCTTCTGAGTCAGTCGTAATTAAAGATACCAATTCTCAAAAATCAGGGTCAAGACATCTGGAGGCCCAAACAAATAAAAGACTAACAAGTGCATCGGCCATTGGAGATATCTTTAATGAATTTAAAAAATGTCAAACCTCCAAATCCCCTGATATTGCTACAAGCAGTGAATCGAGGCAAAAGAAATATTGTCCACAGAAACAGACTCTAGAACTTGTAAATAATAGAGGACCCATGACCTCTAAAGAATTCAACTTTCAGCATAACTCTGTGAATGGTGGCCCACAACAAAAAAAATCGACGCCCAGTCATCTCAACAAGACTTTTGTTGTTTCCATGGACAGGAAAGGTAGTTTAGAAGGAATTAAAGATGGCATGGCCTCACGTCAAACCAGAAGTGCCATTCCTCTCAGTCATTTGGATATGTCTCCTCCATCTTGCATTGCTTCAATTAGACTGTCAGATCCCAATGAAAAAATTTATCAAAAAACGAAACCGTCCGCCAGATCTGAAACTCCTAAAACAATTGATAGTTTTATGTTTGAAGAACAAAGAAACAATCAGTTGCCTAATCAACAGATGCTGAACTGCAGGGTTCAAGGTCAACCTCGATCTTCAGTTCCCTCTCAACCAATAGAAAATACAACAAGGTTTGAAAGCAGAAAAATGCAATACACAAGGGATACCCACACAGGAAATCTGTATGATACAGTAGTAACTCCGGATGACACAACTATACCATGTCGCCATAGCAACATATATCAATCTGCGCCTCCTTTGACTAGTGAGAATTTGAAAATATTCAATACAATAAACACTGTGAAATCTGATTTGTCAAGTAGTCATCCAAGACAAATAACCAGAAGAGTAAATTCTAACAGGGAAAGTAATCAAGATGAAAACCATGCTCAAAATACGTTTTCAAATTCTGTTCATTCAGTACCATCTGATATTAAATTAAGGTCACAGTCAACGTCAAGTGTACCGAAGATTCGACAACTATATGAAAATTGTGCTACAAATAAATTAGATGAATTTGAAAAAATGTATCAGATACTTTTATCAAAATCAAACCCCAAACCTCAAATGCATCTGATTACGAATATATCTGATGACCGTGCAATGGAATGTTCTAGTGTTGGAAATATTGTAAATCAGACCTGGGATTCTCAAAATCAAAGAGTGCTTGATACCCCTTTGTGTCCTAATAATGGTTACAATAGAAATGACAGTGATGTAACCATAACTCACAAGGAGAAAGTATCAACTAAATCTTATTCAATGCATTCTCACATAAAAACTAAACTTCTGGTGAAAGAAAATTCCAATTCTGCTCAAACTTCCACAAATGTCAAGACTGTACAAGATAACAATATTTCAATAAGCACTGCTAGAACTTGTGACCAGACTAACAACTGTCGGAGAGAAAATCCTAGAAAGATTTCAGAATTAATTCAACCAGTCACCACTACATGTACCAGTAAAACAAATACTTCTCCTGTCAAGGTCTCAATTCTCAACCAGATTTTATCCATGAAATGTAATTCAAGGAATGCAGAAACTCTAAAGGAAAGAAATTCTGAAAATTTGAATACAAATTGTTCAGTCACTTTTGATTCAAGGTGCTTGGAAACATTGAATACAAGAAATTTAGAAACGTTGAGTTCCAGAAATTCAGAAACTTTGAGGTCACGAAATTCAGAAACTATGAGTTCAAGAAATTCAGAAACTTTAAGTTCAAGAAATTTAGAAACTTTAAGTACAGTATGTTCTGTTACCTTGAATACAAGAAATTCAGAAACTTTGAGTTCAAGAAATTCAGAAACTTTGAGTTCAAGAAATACGCAAACTTTGAATACGACAAATGCTAGCAATGGACCAGGTAGTTGTTCTAGTGATGATAATAACTCTTATCAAGTACCGGTACAAAGAAATGTAAGGAAAAATAATAACAATAATGCTTGTACCATGAATAAAGCCATATCTTCACCTAAAAGACGATTAAGTTTAAGTTTTGATCTAGAAAGTAAGGAAACCACACAGAACAATTTTAATTCGGCACCACGAAACAACCTCAATTCTAGTCCAAGTAAAGAAAGGCGGGTTTCAAGTCCCTTTAAAGAAAACAACTCAGTTTTCAGAGATAATAGTCAGACATCGAAATGTGTTGTTCAGGATGGATTTATTATTCCGCAAGCCTTCAATATTATCAAACCTCCAGGCAAATGTAAAGAAAAGATTTTCATTCAAAACAGGAGAAGATCCTCTAAATCTTTGGAATCGACAGAACCAAAACATCTCCCTAATTCTTCTATTTATGACTGGAAGTCTGATAGTTCTGTTAATGAATCGAGATCTGTCGATTTCGGAACCAGAAACTGCAACAATGTGAAGTCACCTCTTCATACGAGTACACCAATGAAGAAACAAATGTCTGGTTTCACAACCAATATCTTGAATGATAGCCTGTCAACCATTTGTTCAGAAATACCTAACCAAGAAATTTCTATTTTTATGCCAAATTCTTAAATAATAATCAAAGAACATTGTCTGTAGAAAATGTATATTATATTTAGAAATCTCTATTTATATTGAATTGTACTGTGATTTATGCTGTGAACTGTGATGCTCGTATTAGTTCAAATTAGTTTTAGTTGTGTTGAACAAAAAGAACAACACACCACTCTTGTTTCACTATTTTTTTCTTCCTCACATCAATGTTAAATTTTGATTGTACTTGCATATATCATAGAAATATAAAACTTAATACATTTAAAAATATAGAGCATTTATTATAATTTCTATGTCACATGTTCTAGACCATATTTTATTGAAAACTGACCAAAAACCTAGTTGCATCACAAACTTTGCAGATTACTATTGCCATACTCTATTCATAGTTATATAAGATGTTATTTATTAAAGTAAACCTATTATTAGGTATTTATTTTTCATATTTTCTTATCTTCAACAAAATAAATTGAACAATCCTTTCTGACATTGAACAATGTTTTTTTTAGGAAAATAAAACTATCATCCATCTTGCCTCCTATCCCCACAGGAAAAAAACGAATGTAGTTGACACCCCAAAAAATGATGTCCAGACTGGACTGAATTCTAGCTCACTAGCTATGCTTCTGGTTATACTGTACTGTTGTTCTATAAATTCCCATTAAAAGCAGATCAAATTAGTTCTCCAGTTGGTGGTATAACCTTTGTTGCACTGTTAAAGGACAGGAGATTATCAGTTGGAGCAACTTGTAATGTATCATCGGGAGGTGTGTCTGTGTTAAAAGTTAGGGTAATATTAGTTTGTGCAACTTGGTGTTACAATTGTTCATAAAATATCGTTACTACCCAAGACCTAGGCAGTGCTGCCTACTATCATTGGGATCTGTCTCTTAATTGCATGTTTTGATCGGTTACATACATTGTCCTTTTCCATCAAAAAGCATCAGTCAACATGTTCATCCAGTAACCTGATGTTATTTAGCTGGTTTGGGTTTATAGAGTTATAGATATGTTTTGTACGATACATTTGCTGTTATACAATGATTAAAGAAGGGTTTTAGTGTAACAAACTGAATTTGCGTACCAAAGGACTTTGACAAGGTGGAGATGAAGAAATAAGACAATACATGGAAATTGTTGACATTCAACTATTCTGAACAATTCCTATAAATTTGAAGCTGATCAGACAGTAACTTGAACAACCATCATTTATTAGAGTGTTCACATGAACTGTAAAGTAAGCAAAGGCAATAACTCTAAACATAATTGATGGAAATTGTTGAAATTCAAAAGGGATCTTCCATTCACTAATCTGGACAATGCATAAATTTCAAGCAGATAGCACAATAACTTTTGTCACTAGAGAGTTCATAAGATTCTAAAAATTCAACAAGTGTCATAACCCTAGCAATAATTAACAGAAATTCGAAACAGATTGGATGATAACTGTGTTGATACCTTGTGATTAAGGGCAATTACTCTGGAAATATTATAAGAACTTGCCGAAATTCAAGTCTTCTCACTAACATATAAATTTTTTTAAAAAGATAAATGTAGTCTGTAATATTCACAAAATATAGACTTCAGACAGAGACATTCATGGGCAACAACAATATACAACCATACTTCATGTGGGCACATAAAAATCACCAGACTTGCTGTTTAAGAAGCGTGTCCACGAGAAAACCATGCAAAAGGTGCTAAGGCTTCAATCACAGATTTTGACGAAATTTGGTTTATAAGTTGGGATAGTGACAAAACACATAAATGTGCAATATTAGATAAATCTTTCAATTCCTGACTGAGAAAATTGAAAAAACATTTTTCATATGGTGAAATTGCCAAAATCCGTCTTTTCTCAAATACCAACTTTGGCAAGTCCTTACACCTTTACTATACGTAGCAGAAAGACCAAACTCACACAGTTTGTAGATGACTCAGTGCTGTTACCACAATATTAACTTCAGACGATTCTGGCGAACGAGATCTGTATACGGACTGGATATCAACGCCTGTCTAAATTCCCCATGTTTCGTCACCCAAAGTTTGACGCCCTATAGCTACTTCTTTCATGGGGTGGGTTTAAAAAATTTATGCTCACGTGAACAAGCAACCTCCCAACATTTGATACAAAAAATAAAAATGACCGGAATCGACTTGACAAAAACTAGGTAAAGGAAACAATAACCCATGAAATTAATCTGTAATTTCCCTATTTTGGAGATAATTAACCGTAGTAGATAAAAAAAAAACCTAACAATTTGTTTTCCTTTTCAATCATATGGTGTTTACTACCAGCTCTAAAATACATTAGTGTCTGTTTTATAAAAATATCTTGAAAAAAAAATACTTTCAAAGGCCTGTAATCATTCATGGCTCATCTGGCGTCGACGGGAATTGGCTTCCGCAGTTGTCATAGGCGTACGAGCCAGGGGGGGGGGGGGCAGATGCCCCCTAACTTCCGGGAAAGCTGACTTTTCGGGCAGACGGGTCAAGTGAAAAAAAAAATTATTTCATCTACTTGGCAAAATAAAGTGCCCGAAATCTAATAAAACACTAATTTTACGGGCTGGAATAGCAGTAAAACGCGTTTGCGTCCGTCTATTATTCCAGAAAATTTCTTGTGGGGGGGGGGGGCGTCCGTCAAAAATTTTCTTGGGGGGTCCTTACAAGGTCAGCTCCGCTTCTTCGCCTCTCGAAGAAAACCGGCGCCGCTGTCTGTAAACCTGAGATTTTTTCGGGCATTTCTAGTTTTGCTTCCCTGTCACCGAGCCCTAATAAAACACTAATTTTACTTATCTTTTAATTGAATACCACGAATTTGTACTGAGTTGACTATGGATTAAAACATTTTGTCTGGAGCCACTCTACTATGTGCGACATTTTTCGGGCACCGATTATTATTTGTGAATGCAGCTGCAACAGTCTGATTGAATGGTTGGAATTCAAAATGGGATTTAGGTTACAAAATCATTGGATACTGTTGGAGTTGCTTACACGGGCTAGAATAGCAGAAAACGCATATACGGTGGTTAAATTTTCAAAATTTTCTCCGGGAGGGTGAGGCCTCCATACTCCGCGACGATTGATTGGTTGTTTGGAATTCGGGTCAGCCAGGTGGGCTATATTGGACCAAACCGAAGTTGCTGTATTCACAGGCTGGAATAGCAGGAAAACGCGTTTGCGGCAGTTAAATTTTCAAAATTTTCTGCTAACGGTCCCGTCTTCGTGGACTGTAAACGATTGATCTTTTGATTGGAATTCGAGTCAGCCATCTTAATTAGGCTATAATAGACCACTTTGTTCAAGGACTGAAATATCAGGAAAACGTGTTTGCAGCCGTCAAATATTCCAAAATTTTCTTGTGGGGGGGGGGGGGGGGGGGGCGGGGGTCCATGCAAGGTAAGCTCTGCTTCTTCGCCTCTCGAGGAATACCAACGCCGCTGTCTGTAAACCCGAAATTTTTTCGGGCATTTCGGGTTCTGCCCCCCTAACTGTCATCGAGCCCGTGCGCCTATGGCAGTTGTCCACGAGCTTCCATTGGAGTATCGACATGCTCAATCTTAACAAACATATCCATTACTCTCAAATAGACATTATTTTAAATAAAATAATCCAACGAAAATGAAAAAATCACCTAAAAGTGAGATTCGAACCACCAACCGCATGACTTCCTCCGACCCACCCTCTCACCGAGTTGCTTGTCCCAGGGCCCCAAGGTCCATGTCGTGGGCCCTGTTCAGGGGGTTTGCCTAGGGCCTCTATTATTCTAAATCCGGCCCTGAAGGTGCAGCTGACGGTGCCCGAGAGCTGTAGCTACCATACTACACTGTTCAACGTCACCCACTTCTACGCAAGGCTTCGTTGCCGTTAATATTTAAGCTTCCACATTTCTGTATTGTAGAATTCAGTGGATGTGTCCCAAAATGAATAGTGGAAACATGCTCTGAAATTAAACATTTTGTAGCCATTTTCGGTAACCTGTTTGAAAATGAAATCTTAAAGGGACAATACAACAAATATGTTAAAGGGACAATACAATACCAAATATACAATAAATACAAATACACACTTATATAGAGTGCAACATGGTACAAATAATGGCTATGGATATGATGAAAACGTATAAAAGTCAAAAATTTTATTTCTCTAATTAAATTTGCAAAAAAAATGTATCACAAAAGCTTATTTTAGCACTTTTCAATAAGCTGTATATTTTAAGTATGTTGCATTCTGGTCATTTTTTTTACACCTATGGATACTATGAGCTTAGCACTTCAAAACCATCCAAAGAAATTCTACTTGTGACCATAAAGTTACAGTGTATCTTTTTCTGCACTATAAGGACAATGTGAATATGGTACCCTAAAACAAGTCCACACAAAATTAGTATGTACTGATTTTTTTTTTCAAATTAGTGCTGGGGTGGAAGTTGACCGCCCGCTTTATCAGACAGGGTCAAAATTAGAAGGTTGCTATTCCACCATAGAATGCAGTCTGTGCTTAAAAAGGGTGATAAATACACATGTGAAAACCACAATTTTACCCATAAAATGAATAATTCCCGTACAGTCCTTTAGAGCGACACCAGACTGTAACCACTTCAGCATGTTACCTCTTGCGCCTAGGCGGTGTCATACCATAAGTTTGATCAAAAACTTCCGACCCCCCATCTTAGCACCTATTGCGATTTTTGCATGGTCTTCTCGCGGATACACTCTTAATACCCTCAATTTCATTTCCATGTGAAGTAATAAGTAAAGATTGTTTTAATGATAATAAATTTATTAAACAATAAAATACACAACCTAGGTTTAAATTAACAGAAACGAGGATAATATTATACCCGGTAATCTACATATTACATAACATATCCTTCTTCAATCCTCCAACTTATATATTCACATTTATAAATCGGACAAAATGATGAAATAACTTCATAATAAACACCTTGGGTTAAAACTCTTGTGTATTACATGTATTATGGTATTTGACATGGCCTACAAGCAGCAATTTCACTTCTAAATGTTTCAAGTCGGTCAATTTTCGGCATATTTTGTTAACCTGAAATTAGCAAAGATATTTTTTTTAATAATATGACAATTTTCAGGATCATCTCAAATTGTTTAAAAGTCTTTTTCCACATCAATTTTTATGGTATGGTCAAATTTCACTGTCAGTCAAGACTGGAAAATATGGCTGAAATGTGAGCCCTGGGTACTAGTATTATCATCAAGAGGTGTAGTTCCTGCATAACAGTCCATGAAGTTAGTGAAAATACAATCAACCAGACACACAACAATTACTGACCAGGGTGAACCAAGAAAATAAAATAGGGACCACACTAATACCAATGTAAAGATTTTCAGAACACTTTTAGTTATTTTTTTTTTGTCATCCATGAAATATTAGGGGGTATAATATTGTCCTTACAGTGATATTTCATTCTAATTTTCATCAGATTCCAACAGTCAAGGGGTCTTTTATGTGCACACATCTGGAATTATTATCTATTTCCATCAGAATATAACAAATTTTACAATTTGTTTCACATCATGAAATATTAGTTTGCGGATTGAAGAAAATATCTGAAGTGGTTTATATGCAAATGTCTTGGGGTTCAACAGACCACAGACTATTAAAGCCACAAAAACTGATAAATATAACTGTAGGCCTAGGCAATCTGCACAATTACGGACTGAATAAATTAAGAAGACATAGAATGAAAGACATATACTATATACATATAGCAAATATACATTATGGTATATATAAAACAATATAAGCTGTATATCATAAAAATAAATTGGAAGCGTGATTGAAATACTTTAATCTACTGTTATCTACTATCAATCTTTACTCAGAACATTTACATAGACAAAAATTTAAATTTACTTTTCTGTTGGATAAGAATACGGTGTATCTGAGAAATTGTTTTCAGTTATATTAATTAAACAAATACATAAGATCCCTAAATTTAGGACACAATTTCCTGTCTATTTGTGAAACTGAAAGGTTAGCTTTCAGTAGTATTGAGATACCGACAATCTACCGGTATTTAACATTTCTCAAATCAAGTAAAAATTTCTTGTTCCAAAATAAAAATATACTCTAACTTTTAATCCATATTGCATTATTGGAAAGAGATTTAAGGAAAGAACTACTTCAGAATTTTGCCACATATTTTTTCCAACGACTATGACAATTTTGAGCACTATCCAATTTTTCATGTATTTATAGGTGTTTTAATACATATAAACTATAAATTTAACTGTTTTGTGTTTTTTTACGGCTGAATTCTTTGATATTTTAATTTTATGGCATATATTTATTGACTGACAGTTAAATTCTCCAACTCGTTAATTTCACAGCCAGTGAAGACTGGTAATACAAGATCTCTGATTTCAATCTAAAAGAAGTTCTGCTGAGGTTAAATATTATTTTAATAAAAATAAAATGAAAGAAGAAGAAATGCTGACAGAATTTGTGAAAAGAGAAGTAAAAAGTAACATAACATGATTTTAATATTTAAAACATTACTACCACTGATTCAAATTTAAAAGAACACAAAATACACAGTCTTGCATGTATCTTTCATTAAAAATGACCTAATTATACAGTTTTTATATACATAAGAGCTCTAATTACACAATAAATGTACATGATTTATGTTACAAGCATCTTTCTATTATATACAAGTTTCCAAATTAAAAAGCAAAAAACCAACAATGGTATGAAAGATTCCTGTTTTTAAAATTGATTGTGATTGAATAGTAATGTTGGATATACATATTTAATACAATACCCCAACTAATATAATCTGGATAGATTTTAAAAAAAATAATGTCTAAAACTAATTTAGATAAATTATGCATATATATTCCCCATATAGATAATAGGAATTTCACAAGAATATTAACATTAACAGCAGTTTGTCACTAGTGTTGTCTTGTGCAAGGTTTGACACTTAAAACTGACACCTACACACACAATGTTGTATTACAATGTAGATCTCTAATTCTCCTTCATACAAACTCAAAATAAAGTTACAGCCATGTCCCTTCAATAAAATTTGTATAAAAAAAATCCTTAATGTAGCCTATGTGTACATGTAACATGGGACCAACATCCACAGTAACTCAATGTTTAATGGTTTATAATAACTAATACCATCTTAAAGATATATTAGGTAAAATTTAGAGAGCTGGTCGTTAATGCTATAATAGTTCAAAAATAGATAATGCAAAATGAATATATTGAAAATTACATTCAAATTACTTTATTCTGAGCCAAGTTATTACTGTTGTAGTTTTGATAAGATATTTGCATTGATTGTTTATTATCGTAACCATGGTAATGGTACATTCGAGTCTTAGCCTCGCTTCTTCATTTTTAAATTAAATCATTAAATGGCCGAAGTGTTCTAATCTAATTAAAATCTCAAGCATTCGATGACATTGATAGTTGATTATGGTCTTATCATGTAAACAAATGTCTAATTAATAATTTATATAACATTTAAGGCCTAAAGAAAGCAATAAACAAATTTAGCTCTTGAATAATGTATCTTATATATCGTCAGGAGGTGTATTTCTGTCTACTGTGTGTTTGATTGGCTATGTATCAGGGAGGAAAATTGAACAGTGGTGTTCCTAGCTACTCTTCATCAAATTCTAACATTCATAGTTACTTTTTTACATGCACTCAATAACAGTATACACGGGTGGACATTGTTTTTTCATACAAACAGAACTTGCAAAATTGTCCTTGTCAGCTTCATGGCCAGTGGGAACAGGACTTGAAAAATCCTTTCAGCCAGGAACAGTGTGAAACGAGGTACCAAGTCAGAAACAGATCTTTTTCATTCTAACTGTAAATGTATGACAGAATTAAATGATGAAGATGAACTTTGTAACAGTGAAATAATCCAATCATAATCTGAACTCCAGAAAGAATAAACTAGAATTATTATTGGTTGCATATTTTATAATAAGGCAACCAGTCGAAGATCTAGATACATATTTTATAAAGTAACATTTAGAGAGACCATATGTAAGCCTATAAAACATAGAATCAAATTTTGCCAGCTACAGATATAAAAATATGTAGTATTTTATTTTATAACCAACTTTATTTTCCTAATAAGGCCATGTAAAATAAATATTCTGATTCTCAGATACTGCTTCATCACATATTTTTTTGAATCCTATTACAATGTACATTGTACAAAATAAAATATTAGACAAAAGTTCTAACACCTTTAAAACCTCTTCTTCCATGGTAAAGTGAGAGTACTTTGCTAAACAGGTTTAGAAGTGGCTAGTAGACTCAACTAGCCATCAATGAAGATGGTAGGAACACCATTTACATTAGACCTGCAACACCTGTGCTTTGGTAGCCTACTGCTTGTAAATAAAGGTGTATTTAGGGTAGCTTACAGTAGAGCTTAGCTAAATAAAATAGTATCATGAGTGAATTCCTGTAAACAGCATAACAAGAAAAACGTAGAAGCTTGATATTTGTGCGAAATCAATGATTCATTGACAATATATATAACTTCCACAGACATCAGATATTTTTGAAGGACTGACTGAGAAACAGAATATTATATTTTTTACATGACTTAATACACGCCTGCTGATAACTTTCATTCATTTTATTCAGTTTTATATGAATACCCATAAATTAACATGTATATTACTAAGCATATGCCTAAATACTTTGTATTGACATTCCAGGATATTAAACATGTTGAGAATTGAATAAAAATAAACATAGTTTTAACAAATTACCGATAATTGTTTTTAATTTTGTTATGAGTCACATTTAAATAAATCATATATATTTCTAAGTATACAGTGTAAAAAAAAATATATAAACTTATGAGAATTTGTAACTAAGGGCAAGTTGCTATACTATAAATATGACTAAATGCATATGAATATAATATTGAGTATTACTCAAATAATGAAATAAAATTTACTATGATAATAAAGCAGGTTTATCACGGCCCAAGGTGTTCTACAGTTAATATCAACAGACTTAGGTTCAGGATACCCCTACATTTAATATCAACATACTTAGTTTCAAGAGATCCATACAGTTAATATCAACAGATTCAAGATCAGGATACCCCTATAGTTAAGATCAACTGACTAAGGTTTCAGATGTTTAGGATTCCCAAATAATCAAGATCAACAGACTTGCTAAGTCTTAGTTTCTATATACCCCTACAGATAAGATCAACTGACTAAGGTTTAGTATATCTGTACAGTTAAGATCAATAGACCTAGGTTTAGGATAACCCTATAATCAAGATCAACAGACTTGTTAAGTCTTAGTTTCTAGATACCCCTTCAGATAAGATCAACTGACTAAGGTTTAGGATATCTGGTAGGTAATATGACCTGAACAAGAGCACTGTTTCATCAACTGTAGTAACACATTTCACCCAATCACTAAACCGTATCATATTTATGTAACCTGATTTCTTGACAAGGGTCCTATTCCATAAAGCACATGTAAGACTATGCACCCGCAAATCAAACACTTTGCTATGCAACTATATTGAAAGCATATATACAAAACTCTTCATAGGCTTCGTGTATAAATCATGTATAAATAGATCGCATTGAATTACATTTTTTATTTAAACATTAAAATTATGCAGGAAAAAATGTCACGTACAATTATGTCGAGATCAATTTGAGAATCTTTACAAATCATTAAAGTCTCTGATCGTCATTTCATTCATTTGAGGAATTGTTAATCTCTGGAATTTTAATTTCTAAAAGGAATATCAGTTGAAAAATGGCTTATGCAATATACCTTAATCAAATGTTAAATAATCAATATTAGCTTGATAACGTTGAGAGAAAACTATTTGACATGTCCCCCAAAATAAACAGTAGCTGTTTTCCATAAGTATGTGTTATAGTTTATTGCTCTATCCAGTTACTAAATGCCCTAATTGATTATCAATATGAGAACATTTTAACATGGATAAAGCAGTGAAAAATTAGATATTATCAAACAAATGTAAATGACGACCAACGATTTTAACGGCACACCATTAAAATAGTCAATGTTTAGAGTCTAGCATTAGTAACTCGAACCACACAAGTATAAATTTCTGATATAAGCAAATGGGGGTATAAAGGACAGTGGGGGGTAGAGTGGCTTGTTATCACTCCCTTTTAAATACTACAAGGCTTTCATTTCAAATTTTGACTTATTTTGTTTAGCTCGGAATAGAAAAATATTTTTCCAAAACATATGTCAATTTTTAATATTATTCCAATTAATTTTATATATTTCTAAGTTTAATTACACATAAAAACTAAAAGTTTAACTCTATTTATTGGGTTTAAGATTGAAAATCAGATTTCATGACATGTAAATTGACTGACAGCTAAGAATTTTTGCTGTCAATTTCATTGCCAGTCAGGTCAAAACTGGCAAATATGACTGAAACAAGAGCCCTAATTACATGATCTAAATATATAAAAATATGGTTCAGAAGCTTGTAATATATAAATTAAACTAAATAACTACTTGACTGAATACAACATCACTTTAGCTTAAAACTTTATAAAAAGAGTAAATTTAAAAATTAGGATTAAAAAAACATCGAGTGTGTTACTAATACAAAACACATCAAGTTGAAAAAATAGTTTTAATTCCTTGGTTAAAATCTTGTACATGTAAGTTATAGATATTAGTCCAAATCATCAACAATCTTTCCAATTCTAATATTTACAATTTAGGATTAATGATCATTTTATTCTTAAGCACCATCTGAATTAAAAAATAAAAATATTTAGGTTAATTATTTCTGAAATAGTTTACACATTCCTACATAAATATATATATACACTGAAATGTTAGCTGTTGCAATTTTCATCTAAATGTAAGACGGCATGCTCTTGCGCCAGTGCCGCCAACTCCTTCAGGAATTCCTCCAAAACAATGGCACAGTAAACAGCATTCCAAGTCTTGATGGAACCTTCAGGACTGTCTGGGGATTCCTCATGTTTACTGTTGATGTATCTGTAACCTACACCACCTCTAAGAGGTACTCGCTGAAGTTGTGTACCTTTCCCACCTGAACCAGATGATAAACTGGCAGGACGACCAGACTTTGGTGAAGATTTTCGGAAAAGTAAATCTGTTAATGTCATTCTTCGTTTCTCTACCAAACAAAAACAAAAAAAAGAAAGGAAAGAAAATTATAAACATTTTTCTTTCATAAGGTTATGTGACCAATGTTAGAAATTTATTATGACAGCGAATCTTACATCAAATTACAACTACTCAGTGATATTTTAAGCACAATGCTAATATGTACAAGCCAAATATAGTTCAGTCCAAAAAAGGTTCAGTTCTGTTCATTATTCACAAAAATGTGACGAATTGAGGGAGATGTTTTGAATTTGAATTAAAAAATAAATGTCATCAACAGAAGTATATTCTAGCATGAATTAAGCTGTGAAAAAGTGGGTATTGCCCTATGTTTTTGTTAAAATTATGTTTTAGTAGAATATACCTTTAATAAATGTATCTGGTATAGATGTTGTTTCTATCAGTTTACTACTGGTAGGACTGGGTGCTGTAGGTGTTGGATTAGAGAACGAACGATCACTTTTATTGATTAACAGAACATCTTCACGATTATATAAATTCTTTTTAGCTTTAACTAACAGCTGACTAAAATTACCCACAGCATACGAGTAAGTATCTACTTTATGTCGCACTGATGAAAGAACCTGAAAAATATAAACATAAATTTTTATCTTATATCCATTAGGGATTACTAGAATTTTAAAATAATTTGATATGAAATAGGATTCAAAGTCCTACTATTCTGCTCTGAATACAGTGTGCTATGAGGGAAATTTTGTTACAGACAGCTGTGTTATGGCCTACTCTTATATCAAATTCCAACTGCAAAGAGTTCTTTAACATGCACACCAATGTGTACACAGGATCCGAATGACTATATGTTGTCCATTGCAGGCCCTCTGTCAGGCACAACTGACAAGGGGGATCACGCTGGAAAATCACAAACAAGGGACAACCAGAGAGAGAGAGAGAAATGGGATTTAACGTCCACTCGACACAAACTAGGTCATTTTGGGACTAACATATGGTTTAATTTTATTTACATAATTCGCTTGCGCGTAGGGGTCTTTAGCAGTGGGAGGAAACCGGAGGACCCGGAGAAAACCCACGAGGTTGGACAGGTGACCCTACTCCTTGCCACGTACAAAAGGGACAACCAGGTTAGCGAGCCAACTCTTACTCACTGAACCACCGGGGCTCACACTACTATATCGATTACTAGAAGATTGCCTCTTTTCTACTTGAACAGTATCACTGAGATCCTGTCTTGCCTGCACTCTACAGGAATTCTGTCACCAAAATTATTGTAACATTCTTTTAGTAAGGGGTTAATACAGCAGAAAACTTCTTGTTACAGATTAAATTTCCATTTTGCGATAATTATAAACTATTAATTTATATATTTCAGTTCATGACAATCTTGGAGTTTATTGTATGTCCAGTGCCCTTACAGCTCGACTACCATGGCCACCTCTAACTTTAAAGATAAATTATTCAAGCTCAAATTTGCCTATTGCAAGGTTGTTTTTTTTTAGGCCTTAAATGTTATATCAATTATTAGACATAAATTAGACATCTACTAACATGACAAGACTATAATCAACTCTCGATGCCATCGGATGGCTCTGATTTTAAGTGAATTAAAATGGTTCGGTCAATCAATGGTAACATGGTTACGATAATAAACAATCAATGCACACATCTTGTCAAAACTTCAAGAAAATTGAATGAAATTTTCAATATATTCATTTTTTTTTTAACTATTGTATCAAGAATGGTCAGCTCTTCATCTAAATCTTACGTAATGTATCTTAAATTGGTCAAATACAACAATACATTCTTCTATAATCATTTTTCAGTGGTATCATTTAATTAGATTCAACTATCATGTAATTCAAAGAGAATCAGATACTGTTGAAGAGACACCAAAATAGTTCTACTGAGAGAAGAATGGAAGGATTATATGGGTAGACTACCAGGAATTACTTTACATGTATTTCTAAACCAACTCATATAACATATAATAATATCTAGGAACAAAATGGAAACAATTAACAAAGTGCTTACCCTTCATTTAAGTCAGAAAGAGAGAGAGATAACAATGGGGTTTAACCTCTGCTCAAAACTATTTTGGTCATTTCGAGACTGACATGTATCATACAATACTGTTATTTCAATAATTTGTTTGCACATGGTTGTCTTCAGCAGTATTAGGAAACTGGAGAACCCAGTAAAAACCCATGAGGTTAGACATGACAAACATGAGATTGAAAGCATTATACTTGACTTAATGATATACCTCACAATGTAAAGCACACAAGACCACACAAACCCACTTTTTGCATATTCAGACGATCTGGATGAGATAGGGAGTATTTTCTAAGAATAAATAAACAAAATAAATAAAGATATAAATCTAATGGTCTTACTTGTACTAGTGATTTAACAGTAGGTTGGAAGACAAGATTATGATTAAGTAAAAAAGAGCGTAATAGTGGTTGAGGATAAGCTGCTAGTTGTGATAATATTCCTGTTAATAGTAGGTTTGTATACAGTGTATTCTGCATCATTCCTTCTAATTTAGAAAACAATGCGGATAGAAAGGGACCTAAAAATAAAACATAAATAGTTTATACAATTGTAAAACAAAGAAATGAAATCTACTGTATGAGCCATCATCTGGGCTCACAATGTCGGTCGCCAAAGTTGCAATATGCGATAAAAATGCTGATTAATATTTGATTTTGGCGATAACATTTTGCAGTACTGGCGATTCTTTTTGAAAACAGGCAGAAAAAAATCTTTAAATTCTAATCGTATTTATCCTGGATTAACCATTATATTGAGTGTCAATCACGTGGCAGAATATTATAAATTAATCAACGGGCTGATAATGATATGTATAAATCCTATCTCAAGTCATTATTTACTCCGAATTAATAATCCAAGCGGTGATTATTTGATGTTTCGTTTCGTCTTAAAAAGAATGGCAATACATTTAATCAAAATGGCTGACAGTTCCTTTTGAAGAGAATTAAATATTTTGATAGTCGAATTCCGTTTACTGTGGCTTCAAAATAGGGCATGTAAAATAGACCCACATGCCTATCAGATATCATTATTTCAAATCATATTATAACCACAAGTAGAACGAGCTGAATAGTGACGATTCTTGAGCGAGAAAACAGTTCGCCATTTGTGTCATATTACAGTTGCCAAAATGCTCTAAAAGTGAACAAGTATAATTGTAAGCATCTCTTACAAATATAATTGAAATATATATCGTTCTATCAGGGATAGAAAATAACAACAGGCCTATTATACATGCAACACATACATTTATAGAAAATTGTCAATCCTTGGATGAGAGATGACATGTAAATACTGAAAATATATTGTGCAGTACGGTGTTCAAATAAACTAAAGTCAACAAGAATAAAATCTGATCTTAGTAAATCAAATGTATTATGTAAAGACAGATTTTTTAAGTTGTTGTATATTGCATATATTGCATATATTACTATAATTCTTTTTTTCATATTCATTAGAAATATCTTACTTTCAGATAAAAATAAGTTTTGTGGGTTAAGAGAGAGAGAGAAATGGGGTTTAACGTTCATTTAACACAAAGCAGGTCATTTCAGGTCTAACATGGTATGGTACAATCCTATTTCAATAATTTGGTTGTATGCAGGGGTCTTCAGCAGTTGGATGAAACCTAAGGACATGGAGAAATCCCACAAGGTTGGGCAGGACTCCATGTCACATACAAGCTTGGGGTCAAAACAATGCCACTTGACAGATCTTATGATCTAAAGTACAAGCGCTTGTCCACTCGACCACCCAACTCAGTATTTTGTGGGTTGAAAAGATGATCTAATAATGTCTGAAAGAATACAACTTAATGTAAGTACCGGTATTTACCTATATTTGGCGTACCACTAGAGTATCGTGATGTGGTCAACAAAGTACCGCCTGGACTCTGTGCCAAACTAAACGACATGTCGTCATTACTTCTATTCATCTGTGACAAGGTGACGTCGGCAACAGGACTCAGATTGCGTTGTGTTGTATCTGGTAAAATTTTAGACGTTGTGGAAGTGGTGGGCTTATTGTCACCAGATATCGTTATTTCAACGTAACTTGAAACATCCTTTAACCGTGTTCCAGTTGGCGTACTGGTATTGCCAGGGTTAAAAGTAGAGGTTGTGATTTTTTCATACGGGCGTTCATTTGATACGGGCAAACTTTGTCCAGAAACTGATGCGCTAGCTATCAAATCTTCAACTGGCTTTGATTTCGATATCTCTGATTCTTCACTTATAGCTAAACTTTCACCCAATTCAGCAGCTCCACGATTGGCAGACATTCCAAAAGACGAATACATAAAGTCGATAGTTTCCAGGGTTTGTTCCATAGAATCATGATAATCAGAGTCGTCGATTATATTTAAAAAATTCACAAAACAGTCATTACTTTTTAAACTACAGTACAATTCTGAAAGACTAGCATTTTTATTGGTACAACTAATATTGCAATGTTCCGAGTTTAAAGTTAAGTCGCCATCTTGTAAACTATGTGAATCATTCTTGTTTATATCACATGACTTTCCCTGAGAGTACAAACTATCGCCACTGTTGTATTTAAAACTATCTAACTTTGGCAACATGTTGTCGATTTCTTGGGCGAAAAGTTTTACTTGTGGGTAGGGCTTTCTTTCACCATTAGTTGCTGTGGAATTGAGAGTTTCATTGGAAGTGTCTGCTACTGAATGACTGTTGTTAGTGAATTGTGAATGATTAGAAACAATTCTATCTTTGATCTGATTGGTTGAGTCTAATAAACTATCAGGGGTGGGATTTTCTCCATTATATGGCGCTGACCAACAACGACAATCTTCCGCATTCTTAACCAACTTTCCTCTAGCATCTACTAGGTAGTCCATGTAACTGGTTTCTTGACTTTTTAACTCTTCCGATATAGAACGGACATCAGTCTTATGATTTGTTGAATTGCCGTTTCTGAAAAACAGAATTTATAAGAAATCAAATGTTTTCAAATATGATAACAGTGCTAGGCAATGTGGCTTATGTTTGAAATAACAATATTTGAAATTATTATCACAATATAGCTATTCTCTGCCAACATCAGGATCGAACCACGAACATCCTGGTTATTGAGCCATTGTCTAACTCACGGAACCGCCATGGCATGACTTTGAAGTATCAATGATCATTTTGCAAGGAAAATACAATACATGCTGACCTGTTTGGTTTTAATACTATTATAACTAAGCCAATCGTAAGGCTGATGTCCCCACCTCAATCCCAAAGTAAATCAAAGAAAGCAGACAAATACAAAAGGCCCTGTCATATTGGTTTCCCTGTAGGGAAGACCTCCTCACTGGATTTTTAAAAATTATCGGTGAAATGTCCTCTAAAAGGAACACAATGCACTGAAATAACGGTATGATCAGCAGTGATCTGAAAAGGGCAAAATTTATGAAAAGGGGCTTTAGATATAACTAGCTTCAAATTGAAAGTACATCATTAATCTTTGAATCATCAAAATCAGTCAAAAAACGGGTGCGTATCTAAATTGTTAAAATGTGTGATTTTCAAGTTAAAAGAAATGAACACTATGAGTATTAGACTATATAATAATGAAGTATAATGAACTACATTTTAGTGACTACCATAATAATTACTAAATAAGTATTAAACTGTCAGCCTACACCATGCAATTATATTGGTTGTGCATGAATACATCAAATAATAGCAAAAAAAAAAATGAACAAGCCAACAGTGCGGCTGATGCCTCCCACCTTAATCTTAAAATACATAGATGGCGCTCATTAATTACTTGTAACATTTATCTTTTTATAACATCAACCAACCAAATTGCTTATCACTCTGCTTAACCTAAGCAGAAGATGCTCATTATCGAACGTAGTCAAGGTATTGATGTAATGAAACTATCAATTAGAATAAAAGTTATGTTCCAAGGCACCAACAAATCAAATTGATTATCTTTGCATAGCCCAAGCAGGAAATTATCATTACTGAACTCATTCAAGACATTTATCAAATGAACACAATTTACCTCAGTCCTCATTTCAAATCAGAGTTATTATATTCCAAAAGATGTGACTGACAAACACACAAATGGACGGATGGACCCATTTTAATTGTACCTGTCTTTTCCAAAAGGTGGGAGATAAAAAGCATAAAAGGCAACCATAATGACTTACACTACAGGTGTGGCAGCAACACTGAAACTACGACGAACTTTACCATCTCGCTTAAACATGCTTGTAAAACTTTTACGAGACTTGACAACATTAATAGTTGATGGTGAGGTAAGTGGATGAGAGTTGCCTCCCTTTACCATGTGTGATGGTGTCAGTGGATGAGAGTTATGTCCCTTACCCAATCTACAGACAGACAGAACACAAAGTGCAACATAAAGATTAGTTGACAAATAAAACATAGAAATACGGTTAACAGATGATGATGATGTCATAGATTACACCCAAAAATACAAAATCATTTTTTCTGTTACAGTTAACAAGGCATTAGAGTTTTGGGGGTCTTCTCTGGTTATTAAAAAAATATTTTTCAAATTATCTCTACAGTGGCATTGTACACGTTGAAATTTGATTTTAAACACTGAATCTACCAGTCGTACATATTAATTAGTAGTTTTCAAAGGTTTAACCAACATTCATGGATTTTCTTAGTGAGAGTGATCAATGCCTTCTTAAAATCTCATTAACAAAATTGGAAAAACGATTTACTTCAATTTTTGACTTAGTGTTTCCCCTGCGATACAATTGCCCGTCTTTTTCATTTTTAGAAACATTAATATCAGTTATATCATGATATGAACAAAATCAAAATAAAAGCATATAATATAAATTATTGTTATCCATTATTGTACATGCGTTAGAGTGTGGTAAAAAAATGTCTAACATATATTGACAACATGCATGAATTAACACACAGTTTCTAATTTGGGGGGAGTACATGTATGATATCAAGTCAATGATAGAGATGAGACAGTTAAAAGATAGATACTGTACATAAACTTTGAAATAACAGTGATAGAAACAGACTGCCACAATAGTCTACGCAATTCAATAATATTGTTATACATGCAGACCAATGAACTCAGGCATGTTCAATGATCAAGACAAAAATTAACATATTTTCAAAATGATTACTTAAATATTCCACGATGGAATATTCTTATATTTCAAGGATAACGCACTGAAGGAGTAAAAGCCAAATAAAAAAAAGAATTTTTAAGAGAAAAGTTCTGATAATTTGAGATATGACATTAGTCCAAATTTAAATCGTATGCATACATCTGAGTTCAAAGGTTACAAATAGGATCTTCACTTCAACACATTGCCAGTCAGTTAAATTTTGACGTATTTTGATTACTTCGGATTAGCAAGACATTTTTTCTTAAGAATGTAACCATTTTTAGCATTATCCCAAATTTTTAAATATTTTTTCAAGTGTTTTAACACATACAGTCTATAATCAATTTGACTGTATTTATTGTGTTTATAGCTTGTTAATTGACTGACAAAAGTTCTTTTCACCTGATAAATTTCACTGTCAAGACTGCTATATATATGAATGAATTAAGAGACCTGGATAAGGCTATAATTAAAGATATGTTGGTTATACTGTAGTGTGATAATATCATAAACATTTATACAGAGAAAAACAGATGCACTACCTTCCATCATTCAGTGATTGGCTGGAGGCCAACGATGTATGATGGGATATATCTGTGTCCGGCATGCAACACGATGGTTTTAGAGATAAAAAACGTTCAGCACTTTTACTGTACATGTCCAAATCTTTTACAGCTCGTCTTTGACTCACCATGACATGCGTACATGGAATTAGAAACCTGTAAAAATTAAATAAATACAAATATACTTTAGGCTATCAGACAATAGTCAGAGGATCTTGCAATCAGGCATCTAGAAACAATGTTTTATCGTGGAATAGTTCATTTATGTATTAAGACGTATAGTGATACAAGCTTTATATTGTACAGAGTCATGTAAAACATTATAGGTTATCTCCCCTTCTAATTTAAAGTTCATCCAATTGTTTACATCTCAAAAATCAAAAATAAGTACTACTTTAATACAAAGACTGTTGTTACTACATCTGAGTAGGGAAAAAAACATATTGGAGAAAGGACTGGTACATGTATGAAAAGATATTAGTTTAAACAAAATTTTATTCATTTGAAAAGGATTGAACAACAGGAAGAGCCTATATAAGTTCTTTCCCAAATATTAGATTTGTCTAGGACACATAGTAAGATTTATATTATTATATTTTTCTAGGAGTAGGACACATAAAGATGGGAGTGTGAAATCAACAGAAACTTTAAGTTTAAATGGCCATACCATTATTTATTTATTTCTTATTTATTTTTAATATTTATTTATTTTTTATATTTATTTATTTATTTATTTAAAATCATTTATCTGCTTATTTGTACCATAATTAAAATAATGTAATTAGTTTTTGTATGTATCATATATAATTGGACATTGTACATATATTATACACCCAAACCAGAAGGAAGCAAATTAATATAAGCCTACTCGGCTTGTTTTTGTATCCTATTATTTATGCCTTTTACATTGTATAATATTCTCGAAATAAATACTGTTTAAACCATAATTGATTGATTTTAATCATTTTTGTACCAAAATGTTAACGCAGGCAGGGCATGCAACCAGCCCATTTTAATCAAATTAGGCTCAGTTACATAGTTTGTTAACCCCTAGACAGCCCCAATTAAGTGGATAGCTGTGGTGACTCCCAAGAGCTTGTACTGGGTTCTACAACACAGAAAGCTATTCACCATCTTGGACTGTTATACTAGGTTGTCTAAGGAACAGTAGTTTCAAGCTGTCCAGGGATATACTGATATGAACTATATCAGTTTTCTCTCATTTCCATTAAGGAACAAGGGCAGTCAACATTTACATACGTACCAAGTACTAAAGGGTTAAATAAGTACTTACTTAAAAACTAACTGAAACATAACATCTTCACAATGAAGTTCAACTAATGTTTTAAATAAGGCTAGTGATACCAACGACAGCTGAAAATACACCAAAAATATATACATGTAAAAACTGGAATAATGAAGATAGACACAAAGCCATGTAGTGTGCTATGAAGTAAATTTTGTTCAGACAGTGCCATCTTAAGTCTATTCTTCATTGCATTCCAACATATACACATGACATTTAGCCATTTTTCATTTTTATCTCTCGCAATTTTTGGGACAAACATAGAATTTAACATATACTATTCAAAAAAAGTAGGGGATATTTGATTTTGGGGGCATAATACTAAAATATGCAAATGATTACGAAAAAAGTCACTATAGAACCTAACAGAAGAAACATTTCCAGTTACATGTGACGCCCAAACGCACCAATAGCTACCGCATGGAATGCAGGTGATGCTTGGGATCATCATGGGGGTCCAACCCAAGATTTGCACGACTCTGACTTTGAATGTTACAGTCATTGTGGCATTGAATTCCAGGGTGGAAACATCAGTTTAATTGTTTTAGTGACCAGAAAACAAATTTTGATATGCGTCGGCTTACCCAAAATGAAAGGTTACGTGCCCTTGGCATGCTACAGATCCGCACAACACAGGCGGTTGTGGCGCGGACGATGAATGTTTCTCAGTCTGTCATAAGCAGGCTATGGTCCAGATACCGTGATACACAATCTGTACAGGACAGACCACGCTCAGGTCGACCAAGGGCGACAACTCAAGCCCAGGATCGATTTATCCGTACCTTGGCCTTGAGAAATCGTGTCATCACAGCAAATCAGATCAGCGCTCGTCTTCAAACAGACACTGATGTGAGAGTGAGTGGCCAGACGATTCGGAATCGACTGCATAGGGGTCACCTTCGCGCCCGACGTCCTCGCGTGATCCCTTGTTTGAGAGATCATCACATTCAGGCAAGACGTCGTTGGTGTAGGGATCGTCAACACTGGGATAATCGACGCTGGAGCAATGTGATGTTTTCAGATGAGTCAAGGTTCACTGTTGGTTTTTTGGACAGACGTAGGAGGGTGTGGCGTCGTCGAAACGAGCGCTTCCAAGACGTTAACGTCATCAGACATGATCGATTTGGGGGTGGTTCTGTTATGGTGTGGGGAGGCATCACTGTTGCTGGAAGAACGGCTTCACATGTTGTTGCAGGGCGTGTTACAGGCCAGTACTACCGGGACAACATCTTGGCAGTCCATGTTGTGCCGTTCGCACGACGTCATGGCCGCCGTTTCATCTTCCAGGATGACAACGCAAGATGTCACAGGGCCAGGATCGTTACAGGTTACCTCCAACAACAGAACATCACCACATTACCTTGGCCAGCACTGAGTCCCGACCTCTCCCCCATCGAGCATGTCTGGGACATGCTTGGACAGAGGTTACGTCAACGTCAACAACGTCCTGCCAATGTCCAAGAACTTGCTGCTGCGTTGCAACAGGAATGGGACAATCTGGACCAAAATGACCTTAGACGTCTCATTAGGAGTATGCCACGTCGGATCAATGCTTGTTTGGCAAACAGAGGAGGATTTACCCGTTACTGACTTGGTTGTGATGCTGTGGTAACTTTGCTGTTTGACCCCGGGTATCATTTTACCCTTATAATGGTCAGTCTGTGCCTTACTTAGTCTAACGATCATTTGGAATAAATCGATGAATGTGAACTTCATTTCATTTTGTCATTTGTTTCTTCGTCAGTTTCATTAGGTGACTTTAATAACACTTAAAAATCAAATATCCCCTACTTTTTTTGAATAGTATATTACCCTCATCACTACCAATGTAGGCATAACTTACCCTTGAACTGGAATTGATTCTGGTTATAAGGGATTCTAATATAACAATTTCATCATATTTATCAGTTAAAATAAAAACTAGAAATACACGAATTAATGCTGGCTCCGTCAGACGGCGTAAAAATAAATCTAAATATGCTGTAGCAGTTGTAACTTCATCTCGAGAATTCTGAAAATATATAAAAATATAATATTAAATGAAAGGAAACAGGGTTTAATGTCCTACTTTTCTGCACCGACTTAAATAACGCAAACAGATTAAAATTAATGTTTAAAAATACCTAGCAGTGTAATAGTATAGTATTTTTTTTATATGTTACAATTGCTATATTTTTGTTCAAATTTGGAATTCTTCCATATATAATCAGAAATTATAAACCATGTCAATCTGTCTATGATCATTTAAAACCACTCAAATTTACATGTAAACTTTCAAGCAGTATCTTTTTATATATATGTAACCTACAAATCTTTATAAGAAATCAAATATTGCATAATATTTTACTGATAAAATTATTCATATATGTATATAATACAGATTAGATAACTGAAAAAATGCATATGGGTATCTGATTTCTTTAATAGAAAATCACTAAAACTTCTGATTTAAATCAAATCAATTTTTTTTAACATACGCTCGTATCTATTCTCAAATTCAATTAGTCAGCGCTTAATTCTGAACACTGAAATATACAGTTTCAGTTTTTATTTCATCAAGGTTATATAACAGTAAAAGAATTCAACACCTGACCGATGTCCAAAAGCCATTTCCAGTCTGATCATTCGAACTCAATAAAAAGAGACAAATTCTGCTTGTTGCTCAGTTTATAATATCTTACATGAATTGCAACTGTATAACTTTTTCGGAGGTTAAACCTTTTATTAATCAAATAAAATAGTTTATTACTTATAAAGATACATACTACAGCTCAGAAATATATTTGTTCCGTGTAATCAATAATATGGACCGTGCCAATCAGTCTTGGACCATTCCAAACTATTTTGAGTTTGGGTCTATCCCATTGTTGGTTTTAAATTATTTCATTGCAATATAAAATGACCGTTATGATTTACGTAAATTAAAACATCAATAGATTTGATCCTACATGTATATATTATTTTAAATAATGATTGACAACTTATCAAATCAGGCACATCAATGGGAATATATAAATTATATAATAAACAATATTTAAACCTTCAGGCTTTAATCACAAATATTTTTTATATCTCTCTGAAAATTGAGTGTAACTAAAAATTAGAATTTGAATATATAACTCTGTATGACAATGATTGGTAAGTAAGATGTTGATATTTATGTTTTTGTGAATAAAGCCTCAAGGGTTTTATATCCAACAGCTACGTGTAAATGAGAAGAAATATTAAATTCAAGAAACCACAAACACCATATATTAACAATTACATTAGAGCTAGAGATGTAGTATAAGATATATCATAACAGAGGCGGAGTATCTGTGGCTGCAGCCACAACTCATTCAGTCTAAAAAGATGTCAATGTTTTTATCACATGGACCCTGACTGAACAGAATCGGGCCAAAATCAAGGATGTTACAAACAATAATCAGCATTGTAGGCAATATGCATGACAAAGTTAAGCCAGCCAGTCTTTTCATAATCCGCCTCTGTAATATAAGATACATTATATATACAGCTTTTAAAATGTTCAGTGAAGCTGTGAAGGGAGACAAAAGCATTTTTAGATAGAAATAACTCTTGAAATTAATATTAAATCAAAATCTATTTATACATGTTCTATGGATATATTAAAACCAAATCCATTTTACTTTTAAATTAAAATATCAATTTGGATAAGATGTTGTTGGGTCGAAATCTTCTTATTGATCTACACGCTTCTAATTATACAGCTTGGCTGTGTGTACATACTGAGACTGGCTTTAAGGGAATTTATACAAGTTGAAGAAGCAACAAAAAACAAATGAACAGTAGGCTTTCAAGACAAAACAAATTAAAAATCTTGAAAATTCATTCAAAAATTCCTTTAATTTACATTGACCAAAGTACAGAATCTTTAAATCAATTTATTAATGCTATGGCTTATCTGACCTCTACATGTAGGCTAACGGTAAATGCATTACAGCCGATCTGATTGGTTGAAATATCAATCTGACTTTAATCAAATGTCAATTTAGTTTTGTTTTATTTCTGATGATGTACTACATTGACATCTGAGATATTCATTACTACCGACCAATCAAATTATCTGTACTGTAAGGGATTGTGGAAAATGAAAGCCAAAGCAGACTAAAAATGGTGCCAACATGTAAACAAATTAAACATAGAATACTTGACAAAATCCTTTTTTGTTAGATACACCCTCTGGCACAACACGCAGCTGATAGAAAGTTGGTTTGATTATGATACAGTGTAAAAGTGAGGGGAAAAAAAGTAACTTGTAATCTAATTTCAACAAAGTGTAGTCAATATGAATAAACTAATCTCCTGAGATAAAGATTTCAGCAACATGTTACTTTAGAAAACATTAGGGGCTATTCAAACAGCTTAAAGCAGCTAGAAAGACGAATAGATAATTATAGCAAAGCAATAAAACAAGGTATCTTTTTATGTATCAGGTCAGATATTATAGTTGTTTTGTAAAAAACTAACCATACTATTTCACCATGCTCCTTACATTTCTGCATTAACAGAGTGAATTAATTAAGATGGGCATATATACCATGCATATATTGTTTCCATCTACTTTTCATCAAATTCCATCTGTCAAGAGTCCTTTTATGTGCTCTCCAATGAATACACAATAGGACCTTCGTTTTCTGTCCCATTCAAAGGACTTTTCCTGAACCACTGACAAAGGGGAAACAGCCTGGATAATCATGAGGAACTTTCTCAGCCAACACACCGGGATCGGACCGAGGATATCAAGGCACTCATTTTAAAATGGCAGGTACAACTGTGAATTGAATGAATTTGGATAATGTTTTTCTTTTCAGCTTTAGGTTTAACCTTTTTCGTCACAGAAGTCACAAAATGTCTCTGGGCCTAGAATAGCAAGGAGCACAGTAAACAGCAGATGACAATGACCAATAAGAAAGGGCCCTGTTATACATGACGTCATGAGAGGAATGTCTTAAGACCCATCGGCATCAGTCAATTTACTCACTGACTCATCGGCATCAGTCAATTTACTCTGACATCACACACTACTTAAAATTGTCCATGTTCTATTTCATTATTAGAAATTGACATATTAAGCTGGTGACCATAGTGACCAAAAGCAAAAGGGTTAAACTGGGGAGAAAGTGACATGCATCTAGTACAGAAGAACGTCTAAGGTGAAAGCAAAATAAGGCCAAAACTTCAAATAAAACACTTTTTTTATATATATAATATTGAAAGCGGACAATCATTACCGTGTATGACTATTTCTACAACAATCAAATTAAAACAACAAACAAAATAAAACTTTTAAAATTTGATAATAAAAAAAATTCCTTCTCCTAGACAAGTACTGACCGCAAACATAGTTGTATCGAGAAGGGGTATTGGTAAACCAGTGATGTCCTGATGGTGATAAAGGGAAATAGTATCAATTATTAAATAAGACTTTGTACGTAATCCAAACATGCCGAAAAGTATAATTAATGTCTATTAGAGAAGCATTATGCTTTTTTTGAAGTACATCTATACTTAAGTCTAATAAACATGTTTCATACTTTTCAGACAAAAATCTCTGTGGTTTTTTTTGTGCTTATCAGTAAATAGAATAACAAGTAGACATTACTTAATACTGGGGCCCCAGTTCACATAAACTTAAACTAAAATATTTTAAGAAGGCAGACACTTCATTGGTTGAGAGTTAAATTACATGTTTTTGGACAAATTTGAGCTCTTGGACAGAATTATTAGAATATTTTAGCTTAATTTTTTGAAATAAGGCCCCAGTTTCTTGATGACATACAAGAACAATGATCAAGAGCATTTTAATATTCCTAGGTACATGTACATGTTCTTGATTACACACAAGAACAATGATCAAGAACATTTTAACATTCCTACAATGTAAGTACATGTAAATAGGTTCTTGATTACTCACAAGAACAATGATAATTGTAGTGAAATCAACAGCATTTTAATATATCTACATGTTATATCTAATTAGAGTAAGATAGGGTTATGGTATAATGATGGCCGTGCTGTAATATAAATATATAGGGGTGGGTCATTATGGTTATACATGTATGTTGTTATTGTGTACTTGCCATATTCACGTAATCCTGTATTAATAAAGTGTATTAAATAAAGACAGTTTGCCAGGCAACGAAACATACATGTACGCCCACAGCAGCTGAGCAGTTAAATCACCTGGGCAGTCAACAAGAGTTGTTGCATCTTTTTACTTTTGTTGGAAATGAAACATTTATAATACACTAAAATCTGATTAAGAGTAACAACTCATTAAGTAATTATCAGAAAATCATTAGAATTTGTTTGGTCCATGCTAACGTTTAGTATACAAAACATTTAATATCATGGATTTATCTGTTCAAGTTATTAAAAAATCATTGAAAATCAATATACTTGTTCGTCTCAAGACCTTAAAAACTCTGTGTATCAATCTAAATTCAATCAAAACGAATATATATAGGTGTAAACATGGTGTATAAATATAAAATCGATCTGATGATAATTATGGTTTCTAAAGCATCCACAAGATATTTCAAAGTGATCAAGGGCCATAACTCTGGCAGTAATTATCGGAAATAGTTAAAAACCAACAGGCTTCGTGATCTGATGACCTTAAACACTGTGTATAAATTTGCAGTCAATCGGATATCAACTTTAACCTTTAGAGCATCCACAAGATTTTTCCAAGTGATCAAGGGCTATAACTCTCACAGTAATTATCAGAAATCATTGAAAATCAAAAGGCTTCTTCGTCTCATGACCTTAAATACTTAAGCCTCTAGAGTGTCTGCAAGATTTTTCAAAGTGATCAAGGGCCATAACTCTGGCAGTACATGTAATTATCAGAAATCGGTGTAAATCAATAGGCTTCTTCGTCTCATGACTTTTAACATTGTGTATAAATTTATACACCGGCTATTAACTTTAGTATCTAGAACGTACACAAACAATTGTGGATGCCGGATGTGAGCATAGAAAAACTTGTATCTTACAATAGCATTTTTAAATTACATTACCGATATATTTTTAATAAGAACCCATATTTCTTGAAGGAAGATAAAGGAACTGCATATAAAATGTCAAAATATTGACATAGAAAATATGTCCTAGAAAATGTGGGATATGGTTAAGTCAAGGTTTAGTGATTTACCAGGATTCCGTCCATCTATTTTTATATTCCCCCAAAAGACAAACAATGATGAAAGCTACAAGTACTTGAATCAACTTTTAGAAAAATCCCAGTTGATCCGTTTTAACACTATCCTTATTAAAGATGGATTATGCAAGAGCTAAATCAGTCTAATTATAGATCTTTCGTTTGGTATCAAATGTTATATTAATTAGATATTTATTCACATAAATTAAAATGAAAAACTGGCGGGAAAAAAAATGGAACCCGGACTGAGCACCGATCATTAGAATATAGAAATATTCCATAAAATTATAATCAAATTAAGATCTACAAATTTATTTTTTCAGATTTCAGTTTTCAGAGTGTTTCAAAGTTTTGGTGTCAGGGGCAATACCTCTAAAATTGAAACATTTTATGATCATTTATATTGATAATTCCAAATAGTCTGGAGGCTCAGCGCGGGGGGGTGTCCATCAAATGGGCACAAAACCAGACCCAACTTTTCTAGAGTAAAATTTTGCGTAGAATACGATGCTGAGTGGTAATCAGTCCGTCGTTGGGGCGTTTTCGAGATATTCGGGGTCAAAGGTCAAATGGGTTCATTTGCACTGAAAGTGAAAGCGCGGTCATTCTTGTATCATGAAAATAAGCTGAAAATGATCGAAAGTAATCACACTTTCAATAAAAATGTAAACTTGCTAAATTCACCTTTGTTCTTTGTGACCCCAGAGGTCAAAAGGTCACATTTTCTGTTTTAGCACTAGGAAGATTTAAAGTAATAAATGTTGGCGTAAAAATAAAAACTAAATCAAAAACTGTTCTAATTAATAATAGGAACATTTAAAATTTATCTTTAGGTGGTCTTAGAACCAAACTTTTACTTTGGAATGTCGAAAATGATCTTGCATAACAGAACCAAAACGCTTCGGAGCCTGTTTCAAAAATACGTAAAAACTGTTAAATCAAAATCTCTCTGAATTAGTTTTACAACGAATGCTATACATAATGATACTAATTGTCTGAAAAAAAAACAATTAAATAGTTCCATGGCTGGACTCCAGCCTGCAGGCCGCGTCATAAAGCCTGCCAAAATTTTCCCTGCTAACATTTACCAATACGACATATATATCCTGTGAACTACTATGTGCAATGCATTCGTCGGTTTTATCTGCGTCCATGTTCCGGCGAAATTCATAAAAACTCATAAAAAGTTTGCAACCTTTTAATCTCGTCGCCAGATGCGTGTTTTCCCGTCACAGATTAACGTCGGTTTTCCTAGACTGGGATTCTCGGAAATCCACGCGGCCTGCAGGCTGGAGTCCAACACTGAAACTATTCAATTGTTTTTCAGATAACTAGTATCATTATGTATAACAATCGTTGTTAAAATAAATCGGAGAGATTTCGATTTGACAGTTTTTAGGTATTTTTGAAACAGGTTTCAAAATGTGTTGGTTCAGTTATGCAAGATCATTTTCGACGTTTCAAAGTAAAAGTTCGGTGCTAAGACCACCTACAGATAAATTTGAAATGTTCCTATTATTAATTAGAACAGGTTTCGCTTTAATTTTTATATTTTACGTTGCCATTTTATTGCTTTAAATCTTCCTAGTGCAAAAACGGTAAATTTCACCTTTTGACCTCCAGGGTCACTAAGACTAAAGGTGAATTTAGTAAGTTTACATTTTTATTGAAAGTGTGATTAGGCTACTTTCGATCATTTTCACCTTCTTTTCATAATACATGACTGCGCATTCACTTTCAGTGCAAATGAACTCATTTGACCTTTGACCCCGAATATCTCGAAAACGCCCCAACGGCGGACTGATTACCACTCGGCATCGTATTCTACGCAAAATTTTACTCTAGAAAAGTTGGGTCTGGTTTTGTGCCCATTTGATGGACACCCCTCCGCGCTGAGCCTCCGGTCTAAAAATAAATATTTGTTAAATCACGAACATCATGTAATGTATACTATTTCTTTTCAATTTGCTTCCAAACTTTAAAATTACAGCAGTCTCAGATTTCACAAGGTAACCTTTGATAAAGTTCATTTCAGTATACAAATCCAAACCCAAATGACTCAACAACCTGGCCATGTCTGACAGTTTTGAATCAAATATTAAGCTGTTTGTTGGTCAGGGATTACTACATTTTATAGTCCTAAGTTTCCATTCTATAGGAGTTCTTATTATAAACAGTCCTAAGATTCCACTCTCTATGAGTTCTTTTTATAAACAGTCCGAAGTTTCTATTCTATGTGAGTTCTTATTATAAACAGTCCTAAGTTTCCATTATATGATTTTTATTATAAAGAGTCCTAAGCTTCCACTCTATATGAGTTCTTTTTATAAACAGTCCATTCTACATTGTATATGAGTTCTTTTTATAAACAGTCCTAAGTGTCCATTCTATATGAGTTCTTACAATAAACTCCTAAGTTACCATGCTATATGAGTTCTTATTATATAACTATCAATAATAATAATAAAAAAGTAAAATGTAATATCATCAATCATGTTAGTTCATGTATTAAAATTCTCTCTGCATGTTTTTAATATAATGTACTGAATCTTATGCAAGTCCAGATCAATAATTCAATAATAACACTGACATCTTGCAATATGGAATAATCGATTATCTATGTACTGCAATATAAGATTGACAAGATGTAAAGGCTAACTCAAACACCTTTTGTCTAGTTCATATATTCCAGAAAATAAAAATTAGATTTAAAATCTTCTAATCTAAGTATATTGGTATTCTGTTTTCTGATATTTTAAACTGCACTATATCAGTTGATATTTTTAAAAAGAAAACAAATATCTGAATAATAAAAGAGTTAGAGAGATTTAAACAGGCTTTCTAAAGTAGGCCATTACTTCACTCCACAGTATGGGAATTCTTTTTTTATGAGAGACATCCATGTACATGGTTGTAACCTTTTTAAGTATTAGTTTTTCAGATCCGAGTGTTCTATTTCTGGTCCAGAAATATTAGCTGGCCTACGTACGTATGTAATCTAATAAAGCTCAAGCCCCATAAGCTCAGTATCTATAGACTACAAGCCATAGACTACCAGTATATAAATTTGTACTGATCAGTGATATTAAATGATGTTGATATTAAAGTTGTATTACCTGATGAAGTGCTGGACCTAGTACCGGTAATAAGAATCCGTCATAAATATATTTAGTTAGTTGTTCTTTAACCATTGAATGGGCAATCTGTTGGAGGAAATAAAACAAAAAATCAAATTCTGTGTCCAAATAAAATGGGGTTTAAACTCTCACTTTTCTGCACAAACTGTTCTAATGAAGATAGACTTATGTAATTTTGAATTCTGACTGGCAAAGGATTTTTCATGTGTACTTCCAAATGACTAGATGACTTTTCTTTCTAGACCCACAGTCAAGCACCACTGACAAAGAAAAACTAGAATGGAAAATCCTGAGTTACTCTCTCAGTGAATATCGAGATTAAACCCGGGATCTCTCGAGTTGGAGACATACAAACCATGCCATTTATGCAAATGAATTAATTCAATTGCCTCTATTCATTCTATTTAAATCTCTATCATGCATGATAAGATGCATACATTGCATAGAGGAGTGCTGCCTCATGTTCTATGTATGATCAACCAATCCATTCTGATAATTGTCCAAACATCTAAAGAGGATTGAATCCAAACAAACATTTCTACCTATTTATATCTAGAAATAAAAACAAAGCACTACTTTCTTTTAAAATTAAACCAGAATGTTAAACATGCATTATGCAAGAGCAAAATCTGCTTATTACAAGTCTTTCTTTAGGCCTGAAATGTTATCTAAATTATCAATTAGACATTAATTAACTTATCCAGACCATAATAAACTCTCGATGTCAAGGCTAGCCTTTGATGTAGGCTGGATTAGATTTCTGTATGCCGCTAACGGCCAAAGATAATTAAATCAGAAAAAGTGGATAATCGAGACTATGCTGTTTATATTAATGATTTTAGTAATGATAACCGAGACTATGCAAAAATTTCACCGGCTTCTTTCTCGGCTCATAGTGGATCAATTTGACTGAAATTTTCAGCAAATTACCTTTACACTATCTAGTTTTTAACTATTATAGCGAGAACTGCCATCTCTTTATCTTATCTCCCATAATGTATCTTTAACACAGTGTTATGTAATACAGCAAAAATCAAGTAATCTGAAACTCTATTCAAATGACATTGGGGGTGAGGATACATGCCATTGGTTACCTAGATTCTCCTAACAATAAGAAAAGTCTTCTGATGGTTCTTTACGTCCTAGACTGTATTTTCAAGAGTAGACTGTATTTTCAAGACTAGGTTGTATATTTTCAAGACTAGGTTGTATATTTTTCAGACTAGGTTGTATATTTTTCAGATTACATCAATACATTTAGGTTGTATATTTTCAGGACTAGGTTGTATAATTTCAAGAATAGACTGCATACATTTTCCAGGCTACATGTATGTAATTGTATATTTTCAAGACTAGACTGTGTTTTTAAGAATAGGTTGTATTTCAAGAATTAAGGAACAAAAGTAAGTTACCTGTACAACTGCATTACAGAACTCAAGTGAATTAAGAAACATTTGTAATTCTGGTATTTTATTACAATCTTCGTTGGTTAATATATACCAATGGTCGGACGGATTGGGTATCTTACGAGGCAGAGAAGAATACAACCCGCTCAAACCTGCTGCTAGCACCTGAAACATAATACAAGATTATACGTTATAGTAGCTAGTCTTCACTGACTAGCAGGGAAACTAAACATCTGGAGAACATGTCCATCAATTTATATGACATAAAATTAGTTTTTCAAAAAATTTAACCTTCAAAATGATGTTTAATGTCCTAATTTTCTACAGACAATATCACTATGGGTTACTCATATTTAAACCGTCAAGGGTACTTTTACATGTACGTACAAATCAACGCGTACAACAGGACTTGGGGAAACAATATCGGAAAATCCCAGGGAACTTTCTAGGAATGACACTGGGAATGAATCCGATAGTTGAGCCATCAACTAATCACCGAGCCATCACAACTCCGAATTTAACCTTACTTAAAATTAAAACACAATAAATAAAGTTCATGCTAAAAATGGTCATACCAGTACTCTTTCGAAAAAAATATAACGCTTAACTGAAGAAAACATATTTTTAGTTTTAGGCCTATCTTAATTTCATGTGAACTGTATTCAGTGTGTCCTTCGATTAAATTAATTAAAATACTTGTACGTGATTTTTCTGAAAAGGAGATTTCTGGTAGACTTTGTGTACCAGTAACACAAATTAAAGCTTAATGTATAAAATATAATGGAAAATAATGAAACTTACTGGACAGAAGTCAGAATTTGTTGCTATATACTGTCCTATGTGTGGATGTTTGGCCGACAAGGTCATGATTAGTAATAAGGCATCTCTGGCATGTTGTCCAACAGGACCTTCTCGATGTACGTAAGGTATTAGAAGGGAGAAGATAAGGAACCTAGTTGGCCCATGATCCGTGTTCGTACAGAAAAAACTTTCTAAAATTAACAACTGTTGAGATATACAAACACAAGCTTGATGTAAGACTAAAACTAACTGGTGCTCTATGTCGTATGTTTCCGACGACTGCAAATTTCCTTCTGTACACGACGACAACAACTTTAACAGAGGACGAATAACAGACTTATGTATCAGTAAAAGTTGTTTTGATTGGCTAATAAGCATTTCAAACATCCGTAACTGTTCATGCTTTAACTTGACAGCATATTCATTACTTTTAGCACACCAAGAACAAAAAAGTTCTAAAATATCTTTTTCTAGAAAGAAATGCAAAATGGGTCCAGGCATTCCTTCGACTCCCTCCTCACGCACTAACAAGGTTATCATTTGTCCAAAATTATGGATGACAGTTTCAACCTCGTCACTGGTAACACCATCTTTTCCATGATTTTTACGGTTGATTATGACAGAGGCCTGTTGCCAATGGTTACGGAACACTTCCAAGCAGGTATCCGGATCTGTGTCGCTTCTCTCTTTGGTCGGAGACGGTTCTGCAGATCCGTTGCTCGCTCGACTGCGTTTAAACCAACTCATTCTCTTGATGTAATCTGACTTTGTTTCTTGCACTTATTGTTTTACATGGTCTTAATCTGTTATGTCACCCAGACAAACATATGGTTACAGTCCTGTAAGTACATAAACATCAAAGGTTAGATTTATAATATTTTAAAACTTTGTATAGTGATAACACAGACTAAACAAGCCAACTGTGAGGCTGACGTCCACTGCTTCAATCCCAAAATAAATAGATTAAATACTCGCAGTTACCTTTTTTACAAAGCATCAACCAATCCGCTTAAACTAAACTGAGCAGCAGATAATTGAACTTAGTCAAAGTTATCTTGCTCCATAGCATTGGTAAATCAAGCTCAGTCAAAACATTCACCTACATGTAATAAACATCTACATCAAGTTTGACCATTCTACATGTAGAAGCAAAGTTTTCTGTTCAAAATGTGTGACAGGCAGACCAGTGAAAAGCAAGAAACATTAACTTTTCAATTAAACAACAGAATCTCACTCAACTTCTCAAATTGCTAAAAGATTACTTCCAATATTATTACCAAGATACATGTACTTTGGTGATCTATTAAGTTTACTGTGATTTCAATATGGCATTAACATGGATGTAAGCCACAACACTATCAATCTGCTGTCTTCCACTAGCTACCTCAATTGTATTGTAGCTACACTGTACGTGTTATATTTACATCCATTAACAAGATTAATTGCTGTTCCACTGAATTATATACATCTATACAACATAAATATTCTATACAACATCTGGGAGAATCAATCCTTTGCATTTGTAAAGAGAGGGAGAGTAATGTGGTTTAAAATCCACTCAAATCTACAGCCACCCAACACATTTGGGGACTAACATATGGTACACTTTCACTTCAGTAATTCATTTGCACGTAGAGGAAACTGGATTATCCAGAGAAAACTGACAAGGTCAGACACGTTACCCTAGTCCTTGTCAGAAATTGTGATCTAAAGCATCAGACCAATCAGCCACCCAACTCTCTAGACAGAGTAAAGACCCACTACATTAACATGCATGTGTATGATTCAAGATAAAATATATTTATACCGCTAAAAATATTGCGCCAGAAAAAATAGCCATAATTTATTCCTGTGGTCTAATGTGTGTGAAGGGGTGCAGGTTTGGGGGATTTTTCCCTGATAATGGGGTTTCACCTACTCTTCTTTAATTCCAGGGAGCTGCGGTGGCTCAGTAAGTAAGGCGGTCTCCGGTTAGCTCCTGGTGTTGGCAGAGGAAGTTCCCTGGGATTTTCAGCCATGGTTCCCCCTTGTAAGTGGTCCAGGATGGACGACCTGACAGGGATCGTGTCTAGTCATTTCGATGGGCCAAACAAAGAAGAGGTCTCATCGTGTGCATGTAAAGGAACCCTCGACAGTCGAAATTGGAAATAAGAGTAGGCCAGAATGCCACTGTCCAGGAAACATTTTCCTCATATCACACTGTATGCACAATGCCTGTCTTCATTAACCTAGCTGGTGCAGAAAAGTAGGAAGTTAAAACTCATTTAATTTTTTTATTTATAAATTCCAGGGTTTTAAGTCATTGTGTACACAGACGCAGACTACATGAATAAATCTTCCTGTAGTTCATATAAAGGAAATGACATGACATTTAATGTCTTACTTTTTTTCACCAATTAGACTAACGAAGGTGGACATACACCACACAATGCTCTTTGAAAGGAATCTTACTCGGACAGCTGAGTCTCCATCTACTCCTTGTCAAATTCCAACTGCCAGGGTTCATGTACATGTACTGTATGCCTAACCTCACTTTTTTTGTCCCATTAGAGTGATTAGACAGGCTAAAAAAATACTGAAGAAATTTCCCGTTTAAGACAGGGATTCAATTTCAAACTTCCTGGCTCCAACTAGTTGTTATAAACAAGCTTAAACTACATCAGTAATATCTGCGTCATAATAATTAAATACACATATGTGGATAAAACCAAGGCGACTAATGAAATATTAACACCATACTGCTAGAAAAACATATTATGTTTGTTAACATAAAACTGCTATAATTACTTTAGTAAAGTACTGGTAATTAGATCACTGCTTGTTTACTTCATCCAATTTGACAAGTCACATGTAGTTTATTATATCCTTGGACAGATATAGCAACCACATACATGTATGTATAACAAGATAACTACATTTCATGGGAAACCAGTAAATGTATAGAGGAAAATATAGCATAAATGACAAAGAAGTTAATAATTGCAAATAGCTTGTTTTATGTACTTGTAGACATTAATTGTTGAAAGCCACAATGTTCCTTCTCGTCTTGATCATTCTAGTCTTTACTCTAAGCCTGGACAAAATAAGTGTTAAATTTGTATACAGGGTTAAAGGTCATAGAGGTTATCCTGCCTTAGATTGGTTTGCCCCCAAAGTGGTAATGGATCCAATTTTTAGCATCTTTAGCAAAAAAAAAAAAAAAAAAAAAATAATAATCTTCGGGGGCCTTCCCAACTACACCTTACCCCACCACATAAAAACCCACAGTTGCCTTTCTGGAATTGGACCCCACCCCCAAATCTACTTTAAATAGCTGTCTACGTTAATACTACATGAGGCACCTAGAGATTATGATGTATTTCTGAGACTGCAGGTGCAGTCTGTTTGACTGATACATTTGTTACCTGTACTAGTACTTATGCTAAATATATATCTACCTGTAAGTTAAGTACTATAAGTCAAGCATGAGAAGAAGATTTTAAAGTGGTTACAAATTCATTCATTAATTAGACACCTATAGTACATGTATATCTTTCTTACTCTACCTATTAAAATACTACTTACTGTTAATACTACTGTAAGTATATTTTTAGTAGGTAAAGCTGATACCCAACAATAGCTTATTCAAGTAGACTTTAAAGGTAGATAAAGAGAATAATATATAGACCAGTAAAAATACTATTACTATAGTCTATTCTCACTGAGGTTGTGACCTGTACTAAAAAGACCATTGTCCCCAGGTCAGGTGTGAAAAATGGTGAATTATAAACAGTAGATTTATGTTATATATATATAATAACTTTTGTACCAAACTTATAATTTATACACAATTTACTACAGTACAATAGTATGCTATAATTAACCTTAATTACAGACTGTTACTTACACTGGTTGCTTTAATTACATATGTATACAGTACCTACATACATCTATGTACTACAGCAGATAAATACTACAATATATTTAGCTATTTATTTGTTCATTTTTCAATATTAGTTGACTTCAAGGAACTTATACTATATTAGTAAATATTTGCCAGGGAGAGAGAGAAATGTGGTTTAATATCCACTGGATACAAGAGAGGGACAGAGAGAAATGGGGTTTAATGTACACTCGACACAAACAAGGTTATTTTGGGACTAACATATGGTTCAATTTTATTACAAAAAATTGCTTGCGCATAGGGGTCATTAGCAGTGGGAGGAAACCGGAGGACCCGGATTAAACCCACGAGATTGGATAGGCAACCCTACTCCTCGTCACGTACAATACAACCGGGGAATCGAAACCACGGTTATTGACTTAATGACAAGGCCTTATGATACAAACAACACGCACACGCTAACTATTGATGTTCGAGGAGCGGCCATTTTGTCCGGCAGTTTCAGTCCGATTTTCACAAAATTCAAACTCAACCCTCATTATTGTGTAACAGTGATATATTTAAACGAATTTTTTTAATCAGATAAAAATTGTGACCTCTAGTCTAGAGGGACCACAAGCTAAAACCCTGATTTTTTTTTTTTCGAAAAGACCCAAGATCTTTGGGAGATACATCTATATTTCAAATATTATTAAAATCGGATAAAAATTGAGACCTGTAGACTGTCCACAAAAAAATGTGAAAGGACAGATGGACATGGGCGGTGACAATAGACGTCCACATTTTCATGTGGACGTATAAAAATGGATTAAATTCCATTACTTTCAATTGATATTGAATAATGAATACTAAAAAATCAGTTTGAATAGCCTTAAAAAACTATTGAATTTATGAGTATTATCATGGCTTAAAATTAAAACATGTTTTGAAACAGTGTGTACAGAAACTACAATGTAATTAATGATACAGAAAATACATCAAAGAGAGAGTATACATTTTATAAATTGGAAGTTATTTTATAAGGTGTGTCTTTTCGAGTTGGTTCATGAATGATTCAACTATATAAACAATAAAATACCACAGTAAGATTCTAATCTTCTGGTTAAATACCATATTACTGATGTACTTAACGGTGGAGCCAAGTTTGGGGAGATTTTTTTTATTCCAGAAGCTCAATAACCCAACCATTTAATGAATCATATCCGAATAATGTCCCAAATTTTACTTGTATTTCAACATTTCCTAAAATAGGACTATTATGGTCCTTTACATAATTCAATTACATACTACACCATGTAAACTCACATTGTGACTGCATGCATAATAACATTGAAGCCATCTATACATTTGTAGCATGTAGATTATTCAAGTAAAATGACTCACTGTTTAGCCTACTGCTATAATAAAACTTTTGACTTTTATTTAGCCTGACATGACATTTCAAAAATAATTTCCTGATAAAGGTACAGTGCGCTCTAAAATGTTTGGGCGACTAAAGATTTGGGTAAGGGGTGGGGGACCGGACTTGCACAGAAATTTGTGTATTTACTAATAACATTTTCAACCATTAATCTCAAATTCAAGCAAGAATGATTAAGACTAAAATTCTAATCTTAAGATCAAGAATCTCATATTTTTTCATAAATATTTATGTCGGAAGTCAGTGTTCAGTACATTTGGGTAAATCAGTTATAGAAAAATTTGGGCACACAAACCCATTCACCCCACACAAAAGCATGACGGTGCAAGTGATGAGCACATTTTTTCCTTTTTATTTCTATCAGCATTCAATGACTTTTATAGTAAATGTTATCTTTATAATTACTGTCTATATTTTGTACATTTCGTAACATATCTTTAATATGTGTATGTTTGTATTGTAAAACAACATCTGAATGTTTTGTGAATGATGCACAATAGAAGTGTTTATTAATAGATATAATAAATAGATGA